CTTCTTGTATACAGGAGCAGGAAACAGTTAGGATCCACTGGATTGGACACTTTATTTTAAAATACAAAAATAAATATAAAACCTTATATAAGTAATACCAGTCCCAGAAATATGACATGAAGTGGACTCTACTCTCTCTCCGAGACGCGTTTCGCCTGTCGGCTTTCTCAGTCAGAATATCTGTTTCCTGAAAAGTCTGTATTCATATACCTGTGTTCTTTATCTGATTGGTCGCCGTGCTCCTTCGGCGGCCAATCACAGCGCGGGTGGTTGGGGGTGTGTGTGGTTTCAGCTATTACTCGTAACTCCTTCATCCGAAACCAGAAGTGACGTCGCGGGCCAGACGCGACAACCTTGAAGATCCGCCCCCACTGGCGTACATACCGCAGTCGCAAGGGTCGCGAGGCTGGCCCTGGTGTCACCGGGCGGCCGGTCCTGCGGGTGCGCGAGGGAGCACTCTCCCCTGAGCGCTCTCTGCCCAGCTCCCTCGCGGACACCACACTGATGCCAGATCTGGAATATGAGGTCATTCCGGCTCCGGAATCAGTAAGCTGCGTACGAGGGAGCTGGGCAGAGAGCACTCAGGGGAGAGTGCTCCCTCGCGTGCACGCCAGCCTGGTGACCGGCCGCCCAGCAGCCCCACTGGACCCTAGGGAATCCCCTCAGCTCTCCCAAAGGTAAGGAGGCTGGGGGATTAAATTTTAAAGAAACGTGTGTGTGTGTGTGTTAGTTTTTGTGTGTCAGTGTGTGTGTGTGTGTTACTGTGTGTGTCTGCTAGTGAGTGTCAGTGTGTGTGTTAGTTTGTGTGTCAGTGAGTGTGTGTGTGTGTGTGTGTTACTGAGTGTTAGTTTGTGTGTGTCTGTTAGTGTGTGTCTGTTAGTGAGTCTGTTTGGTGTCTGTTAGTGAGTGTGTCAGTGAGAGTGCAGGCTTTGTGAGTGTGTGTGTGTCTGTCTGTGTCTGTCTGTCAGTGAGTGTGTATGTATGTATGTATGTCTGTAACTGAGTAGGTCTCTGTCAGTAAATGTGTGTGTCTGTTAGCTAATGTGTGTCTGTTAGTGAGAGTATGTGTGCGTTTGTTTAAAGCCCCTTCAGCACTTACCTTTCTCCAGCGCCGGACTCCCTTGGCGCTGGGGATCCTTCCGCCCCGATCCGCCTCTCAGCTCTGCATGCACTGTAAGAGGCGCGAGCGCATTTAAACCGCCCATAGGAAAGCATTACTCAATGCTTTCCTATGGACGTCCAGCATCTTTAGTGAGAAGCACGGAAGCGCCTCTAGCGGCTGTCAGTGAGACAGCCACTAGAGGCTGGTTTAACCCTCTGTGAAACATAGCAGTTTCTCTGAAACTACTATGTTTACAGCTGCAGGGTTAAAACTAGAGGGACCTGGCACCCAGACCACTTCATTGAGCTGAAGTGATCTGGGTGTCTATAGCAGTCCTTTAAGTGTATGTGTATCTGCATGCACTGGCGTACATACCGCGGTCACAGGGGTTTACAGCCGTGCGACCAGGTGCCCGCTGCCATGTGTTGCGGTCCCGTCCCGCGCAGAGTAAGTGCATGGGGGGGCCCACGGATCAATTTTTGCATCGTGGCCCCATGGGTCGTGTGTACACCACTGTCCGCCCCCCTTAGTGGCGTGGTACTACGCCTACCTCATTGAAGTCCAGGGAACCATCTTGTATATGGGCAGTTCTTATGTACATTCTTAAATGTACAAAAATAATAGCAATGTATTCAACAGGACTTATAGTCCATCAATGTCTTGTGTAAATGGAATACATTACAGTACAAAAGGATAAAGGATCAAACATAGGACAAAAAAAAAAAAAAGAGATAAAAGGCTAAGGAAATATGGAAGAAAATATCAAAAGCGAAATACTCTATTGGATTCTCGCTATTTATAACAGCAGATTCTTATCGACATGCATTGGGATAATAACTTCTAAACATAATCAGTACCTGAGTGAACTCAAATGCTGTGTGTGTGGAATAGCTGTGTATAGGTATAACTTAGCATATAGATCACAGCAAACATCCATTTGATAAATCAGTACTCTAGATGGACACATATATTGATACCTCAAATTGGTCTCTAATTGTGGTAAAAAATCTAAAGGAATCCAAACCAAAATAATTTCAAAATTGATAAAATTAGAAAAATTTACAAATATATTTAAAAATTTCAAATGTTATGGGATGATGGGGATATTTAACAAGGAGTTTTTTTGTTTTGTTTTTTGTAGAAAGTGGCAAAGCTCGGAAAAATTATTCAAGCCATTGGGTTGCAGCGTATTTAAGTTGGAGATCCACTTCATTTCCATTTAGCCCATTTTTTTTTTTTTAATATCATCTCCCCTCCAATTAAAATTAACTTTCTGGATGCCCATGAAGCTCATTTGACTTGGATCACTGTTGTGTTTGATTTTAAAATATCAGGACAGCCTATGCTTAATAAAACCATTCCTGATGTTCCGTATATGCTCCTGTATTCTAACCTGCAAAGGGCGAGTAGTACGTCCTATGTAGGCTAAACTAAATGTACATTTAATCATATAAATTACATGTTTAGAATAACAGGTTATGATCTCTCTAATCTTAAAATTTTGATTGGAGCTTTTTGTGTTCTTACAGGCTCTATACATCCCACATCCATAGAACCCCCCTCCCCCTCATATTCATTAAACAGATTTTTTATGGTCTTATTTAAAGAAGAGTGATTCTGAGTGAGGTTACATTTCAAATTTGGAACACCACATTATATAATTTTTGGCCTTTCCGGGAGAATTAAGTTAAGTGTCTCATTGCTTTTTAAAATCAGCCAGTGTTTAGTCATAATTTTCCTCAATTGTTTACTCTGACAATTAAAATCACAAATAAAAGATATATTAGCATTTGTATTCTGTTGTTTTTCTTTATATGTTATTAGTGAATCTCTATCCTGGGTGTTAACTTCTTGGAAGGCTATATCTAGAAACGTATTTTCATAGCCTTTGTCACTGAAATCATCAATAATTTTTTTGTGCCTGTTCACAAAATGTATCATTATCTGTGCAATTTCTTTTGATTCTCATTAATCGTGATTTCAGGGCATTTAAAAGCCATGGGGAGTAATAGCAGCTGTTACCTTGAATATAACTATTTACATCGACCTTTTTAAAAAGGTACTTGTTTTAATTTTGATCTCCTCTATATAAATATTGAGGTCTAAAAAACACATCTGTGTTCTAGAAAATATTGTCTCTATATTTTCCCCTTAAGTGGGAGAACACTGTCATCTAACCCCCTCAGTATATACACCATCGCTCACTTTTCTTGGCATATCTGTGTAAATTTGGGATAGTTACACGTGTGTTGAGCTGCTGTATACTTTTATTTGATGTGTATTTATTATTGGGCACGTTATATATTGCAAAGAGCACTTTTTCATCTTTCAAATAAATTTACAGTAGGAGCAATAAGGATGTGGAATTCTATGCCTGAATAGGAGGTTTTATCAGAGTCCATACAGATGATTAAACAGCAATTTGATAAATACATGGAAAAACTATTTTTTTTTTTTTATTAGTGGGGTAATAGCTTCTTGATCCAAGGAGACATGACTGCCATTCTGGGTTCAAGAAGGCATTATTTCCTAGTTTGTTGAAAAGTTGGAAGGGCTTCAGTTAGGTTTCAATAATTTCATAGGGTTACTCACTAATGTGAGAATTCCAAGTGGTAAAACTGAAAGCATAAACTGACTTAGAGAAATGTTCCACTTTAGTTATTTTTACCTTAAATTTTAAATTCACTTTGAATTCTCACTTTAGTAAATAACCCTGTCAGTCCTTTGCACTTGGCAGCATATAGAAAAGGAGAATTAAAGGGACACTACAGTCACCCAGACCACTTCATCTCATTGTAGTGGTCTAAGTGCAGTGTCCCTGTCCCCTCAACACTACAATGTTTAAATTAAAGTGTTAAGACAGCCATTAGAGGCACTTCCTTGTGTTTTACACAGTTTAACTCTGTGAAATGATGCTGGACGTCTTCACATTTGGCATGAGAAGGTCCAGCATCTCACAATCCCCACAGGAAAGCATTAAGCCAATTCTTTCCTATTGGGCATGCCTAGTGCATATTAGGTTCCCCCTTGCACGGGCGTTGGAAGAGGCAGAGCCAGCGTAGAGCAGCCTCAGCACTTGAATAAAGGAAGAGCAATGATAATTTTTAATTTTCATTGCTACAAGGGGGTGTCACAGGGACAGAGGGACACTATAGTTTTGTATTCCTAACACAGGAGTGTTACATAGCTAAAAAAAGACTTGCGTCCATCAAGTTCAGCCTCGCTCACGTTTTTGCTGTTGATTCAAAAGAAGGCAATAAAAAAAAATAATGAATAAAAACAACCCAGTCTGAAGCGCTTCCAATTTTGCAACAAACTAGGAAATAACTCCTTCTTGGCCCCAAATTGGCAGTCAGATATCTCCTTGGATGAAGCAGTTATTACCCCAATAATTAAAAATGATATCCCTGTATGTTAAGTTTTTGCAAGTATTTATCCAACTGCTATTTAAACATCTATACAGACTCTGATAAAATCACCTCTTCAGGCAGAGAATTCCACAAAAACTTATATATTTTATAGGCCTGCTAATCTTCATTTGTCATCTCTTCAATGATTACACCTAAAGTACTAAAAATTTGAAATATTCTTATACAAATAATATGTTGACATAAAAACCCTAAAAAGCTTAGAGAAACTCAGTAGCTTGTCATTTGGTAAATTCCCGCTCAGATCTCAAAATAGTTTTAGTTAAACTATTTTTATCGTTAGAGTGTTATCGAACCAATTATCCCCCACCCGAATACAATACAACTCACCTTTATTCCATTGCAGGCTTATACTCCAAGGAGCTGCTTCACAACATCCTGTAAAATAATTTGTAATGATGACTTCTGGCTAATCCCATGCATCTCATAGATTTAATGACATAGCGTGCAGAAGAGGCAATCTCTGCACTCCTCAAATCAGACACTTTTCATAGAGAAACAATGAATCCAACAATTCACTATGGTAAGCATTAAGAATGTTTAGCATCATGCTTAGGGTGATGATGCCAAATATGAACACCTTTCATTTTCAGAGGTCATTTTCCATAGCTCAGATCTTTACACTTTTTAGAAAATACACACATTAAAGTGCCCTTATTATGACTGCTGTCCTTGTTAGCTTATTTGCATTCCTAATAAATGTGTCTACATACTGCCATCATTTTAAGGGCTGGCATCTTGCAGGTAATTTGAAGAAAAAAAAAAAATCTCATAACAAAAATATAAAATGTAGACAAAAAAAAAAGAAAAGAAAAGATAAGTAATATTTCAAAGTTGAACAGTCCCATTCTGGTTATTGGCACAATATAAAAAAAAAAAAAAAACAGCAAACAAACAAAATAAAATTTCTGTGTTTTACCATTTTATTTTATTTTTAAATTATGCAATGTTTTTCTTTTTAACGAACACTTTAGGCCTGGCTGTACTGGCATACCATACAAATCATTTAAACAGTTGCAATGTGCAAGTTCACCAATATGCACAAGCAGGCCAGTAGCATCTTGGGCTAATGATGAAACCTTGGGAAATAGAAATGCTGCAAAGACTATATTATTATCATTACTATTTTTTTAATTGACATCAGCTGCAGCACTTCAATAGCATTAACTGGGGAGAATGGATAAGGAACAACAGAAGTACCATAACCACTACAACATGCTTTTACAAAGGTCTGACTTCCTACCATGGGACAGCTAGGTGCCTCTCCCACCACCATTACAGCTCAGGTGCTTCTATCTGTTCTCTTAAGTTAGGCCCAGCAGTATTGGCTGCCAGCATCAGCTGATCCTCTGAACCAATAAACCCTCCTGGCACCATAATGACTACCGCACGCTCTAGTGGTTAGGGTGCTGTTATTGTTTCTTTAAAGGCAGTCAAATATTGTTGTGTGTTTGTTTTTATTCTACTTTAAAAAGTTGTGACAGATGGATGAATGAAAAAAAAAAATAAAAAATAAAAAAAAAAAAGCAGAAATAACAGATTGCAATTATTCAGTTTCTTTGACTGATATTTCACGTTAATGCATCATCTCCATGTCCCTGTAGCGAGAAGAGGCCTTATTCCACAGCACATAATTTAATAATTAAATATAACCATTACTTTTGGAAAGATTAAAATAGAATGCTATATAGTGAAAATGATATTAAAAAAGGATCATGCCCTATAATTTGGCACCAACAATTACATAGGTGCTTAACACATTGGTAAACCATAAAAACTACACATCTTTGAGTTTTGTAATTTATAGACTACAGAAAAAGTAGGAGAAATGTATGTTAACCGATAAAACAAAAATATGTATCTTACAGAGTGAGTTTAACAGAGGAAATCAGAGCCCGATATATTTCATTAAACTTTAAGATCACAACAGAAAGGATATTCCAAAATGTTTTTAGCATTCTGTTTCCTTTTTAAATTGGTAGATTGGTCAGCCATAATCCTTTACAGCTGTAAATGTTGGTTAGGAGGAGGAACAAAAAGAAATAAAAAAAATATAAGGTCAAATCCACAAACTATATTTCAGTGAGTTGAAAATTTTGCAGAGTTTGAAGGAATGACGTAAGAAGCAATATCATTATAGGTTTGGTTTCAGTCAAGTGTTTGGGAGAAAATCAGACTCCGTATCAATCCTCCTGTAAGAGTTCCTCAATCTCTTTGTCCCAGTTCTCATCTTTAATTTTGTCAGCATCTGACACAACTTCATATTCCTGAACGACTTGCTGCAATTCCTTAATCCAATCTTCAGATTCTTCTATTTAAAATAAAATTGGAGGAAAATGAAAAGAGTCACAAGAAGATTCCTGTTCGTTCAGTAAAACAGAGCAATATAATTTGTCTATGTACAAAAAAAAAAAAAACAAACACTTAAAATCTTGAACAGTAGCAGCAAATATTTTCAACACTACCCACAGCACTTCCCTATATATTCTGAAAATTAAATGGCAGCCACCACTTATTATGGCCTTACTCCTTGTTTGTGAATAAAGGAGTCATGGTGCCATGCAAAATTGTTGCGCACAAGAAAAAAGGCAAAATGCAAACTCTTCTAAGGGAAATATATGGGTGTGAACAAAAATGAATGCAGGAAAGGATAGTGAAGGAGCACACTGTAGTCGGTATGATGCAAGGTGCTCTCCACGGCATCCCATGTAAGCAGATAAAAGGTTTGTTAATGATTTGATACTTAGATGGGTCTCTTGGGCACCTCCTGTCTGGCCTTTTTTTCTAATATATCTCAAGCAGAACTATCACAGTTTCCTATGGTGATTGTCCCTTAAAGGGACTCTATAGGCACCTAGACCACTTCAGCTCATTGAAGTGGTCTAGGTGCAGTGTACCAGCACCCTTAACCCTGCAAAGGTAATTATTGCAGTTTTTAAATTTTATTTATTGTTTTATAAACTGCCATAATTACTTTTATGGGTAACTCCTCTAGTGGCTGTCTTCCGGATCTTAGGCGACTTTTGGTCACCTGATGCTGGACGTCCTCAAGCAATCCATAAGGACTTCCAGCGTAATTGGAATCCTCATAGGAATCCCCATCGAAATTCTATGGGGAAATCCTAATGAGAGAGCTGCAATTACCACACATGCTCATTAGAAGGAGAGAAGGCAGACCCGAGCAGAGCGCCGAGAAGAGCAGGCGGACCCAAGCCAGGGCCAAGGGACAGCGGCGCTGGACCCAGGTAAGTGACAGGTGTTTTTAACTACATCTGCACTGCAGGGGGAAGATATGGTGCCAGGAAAACAAGTTTATTTTCCTGGGACTATAGTTTCCCTTTAAGACTTTTACTGTATTGTATTACAGACACACCACTCCTAACTCCACTACTGTGCTCAGTCTTAGATGCAAGTACATTAAGTAAATGATTTCGTCCTACAGTAGATTAAGACTTCTTGAAGGTTTAAACAATTTTATTAAATTACCGTCAGCTGCATCAACTTCATCTTTTTTGTCAAGAACAAGTTGTTCCATTTCTTTTCTTAGATCCTCTTGGTTAAGATTGCACGTGTCAAAGGCTTCACTCACAAATTCTGAAACTTCAGGGCTTGTGGAAATCTCCTCCTCCTCCTGAAAACAAAATAAAATAGACATAATATAACAACTTAAAGAAATGGGGCAGTTCTTGAGAACTGTATTTTGAAAACATATGGGAGAAATTGACAGATATCCTGTGTTACCAAATAAGAATCATCAAAAGCAGACAAGCATCAATAGAGCAAACATGCACATAAACAAAGCTAAGACTAAAAAGGTACTAGGGGAACAAAGAAAATAAAACAAAATGTTATTACCTCTTGGGATTTGAGCTGTGAATTGATAGCCACTGGTGGAGTCTTTGGTCGTACAGTTTCTAGGCAGGATTGAAGTAGAGTATGTTAGCGCCATTGGAAAAAAAAAAAATGCTGACAAATTTTCAATAAACCTCAGGTACAATGGAGTGGAGACTGCAAAACACGCCATTATCAGTGAGAAAATGTTTTTCATAAAATTTCCATAGATTTATATTAATTTAATTAGGGCTGTAGGTTTTGTGAGATATATATATATATATATATATATATATATATATATATATACACATATATATATACATACATACATCTGAAATATTCTTATACAAATAATATGTTGACATAAAAACCATACAAGTGCTGCCTAAAACAAAAACCATAAACACAAACTCATTATTATGCTTTTTTTTTTATTTTTACAAATTTTATCACAAGTATATAGACAGATTTGGGTAGTGTGAAGCCTAATAAAGAGGTTTTTCCAACCTTTTTAAAATATTATATTTTTGGTTTCAAAATGCCCTACTGATTCCCTCTGTTTTAATAAATAAAAACCTGTAAGAAAAGACCTAAAACATACCTTGAATGAAGTGACAGAGCTGACAACTTGTAACAAAAGTATGTCAGAAGGGGGAAAACAGAGAGCTGTCAGTATATGTGAAGGGGTGGAGGTGCAGAGGAACAGCAGACAACCTGACACTAAAGCATGTGAAGGGGAGGTGGGGTGTACAGACAGAGAGCGGTCAGCCTGACTAATGTATGATGGAGGGGGAGGGGACTTCACTTGCAGACTACCTGCAAGTGAAGCACCACATTACATCTGTTGGCAGTGCAACATGTACAGAATTGATATAGGGAATCCAGAATAGAGTTCCCTGCTGCCAAAATCACATGTGCTGGGTGTACAACTAGCCACCAGCACAAAAGCTCAAGTGTTTCTGTATGTGCTCTGTTTTACATAGAAACACTGTAAATATAGGCTCCTACCACCAGGACCACTTTAAAAAGCAGAATGTTACAATAATTGGAGTATACCTTTATTTTATGTGAATTTGAAAAATCCTTTTTTTTTTTTTTAATGTTTCATTTTTATTTGAGATGAAAAGACATGACATTGCACAATAACAAACAGTGCACTGTAATCACATGAGGTATAAGTACAGTAGAAATGAAGAAATAACCAGCCATATAAGCATTTGAACAGTACTACAGTATGGCAATGGCACATTGCCACAATAAACCAAACATTCGATAGCTACTGTGAAAGATGGTCAGGTAGGTCAAGCATGGTACCTGGTAAGCGCGGTTTACTTCATGGAATGCTGGGGTAGTGTGGGAGAGGACCCCTATATATGTATGGTGAGTTCCAGGGTGTAGCTCTGAGCCATTGTCCGCCGCAGACATATGGGGTGAACAGGTTTTTATCAGTTAGTAATGCCTTACGTTAATACGTATACTGTGGAAATAAAACTAGTTTCACTACCGGTTATCTCAGGTTTCGGTTCTTGCCTAGATAACAGAAGCCCTTATTTTGTTGGGGGGGAAGAGGAGTGTAAACTGGGAGAGGGGGAGGGAAAGGTTGCGATGCTCTCATATTATAACACTTTCATAGGGTAAGTTCAGTCATGTGGGTGTCGCCTCAGTCATTACCATTTGGACTGGGTTCGGTTATAATACTATAGGGTTCCACCGAATGTGTGTGACATCTTCTGTTATACTGTTGAGTGAGACTCACTTTAGCGAGCACCAACGCTACGAGAATGTGAAAAATCTTTGCATCCATTTTAAAGCACACTCCTCCGTGCCAACGAATAAAGCACACAGAGGCTCGTAGATGGTTTATGACTATTACAGTTTAGTATAATAATATTACACTGTTAACAGAGACATATATGACTAGTTCATAAACACTAAATGTGATTATTAAAACCATTTGCTATAGGGCACATGGAGAAGATGCAATATCATATGTACCTTCCAAATCAGCTTCATTCTGCCGTCCATTGGTTTTGTCAGACTTTCCTGCAGATTGCTGGGCTGCAAGAGCTGTCAGCTGAGCAGACTGCTTAATCAGAGAAACTCTATAAAAATAGTTCCTCCAGAAGACATCTTCTTTTACCCTAAAATGTATAGATAATATGTGTCTGCTATAATACACACACATCTATAACTATCTTTACATAAAAAAATTTAAGTAACAAAAAAATAATAATAATAAAGCAAATAAGGATAATTATTTTAAAATGTATTAGGCTGATGCAGATTTATATGCATGTAAATCATCTCTAGTTGATATCGAGGACCAATGAAGTTTCATGCCACCATCACACATAAAAAAAAAAAATGCATCTGTCGTTATTTTCTGTATACTCCTTTAAATATGTGAGACATTTCATTTTATATAGGATATTTAAAAACTGGCTGATTTGATAGAATTATACCAGAAATGGAAATATTAAAACTACACTGTAACTGTCAATTGTATAAGCATTGCTTGTCAGATTTCCTGGTATAATAAATAATTTGACCTTGGAATGGAAATCATGCAGATCGCATATCAATAAATACATTTAAAAAAAATGTTTTTAAAAAAGTGTACAAATTAAATTTTCAATTAAAATTAAACAGTATGTTGGGTAAAATGTAACACATCATGAGCCATAAAATACAATAGTTAAAAACTCACAATTTTGGAACAAGGTCAAATCTCATTCGATTAAGGAGCTCATCCTCTTGCAACATAACAAGAGCAACAGGGTACATCTGTTCAAAATCAAAATTAAAATGGACGCCAGCAGGTGGGTCTCTGAGAAAGTTTCGACGGTCCTTTAAAACAAAAACACGGGACTGTTAAATAATCTGTCTATACCATAACCAATTATTTTCTGTGAGTTACCCTCACAAATTCCTCTTTTATTTTTATTTTTTTTATTAAAAACAAAATAAAAAAAATTAGCAACGGAAAATAACAAAGAGAAGTAGTTAATCAGCTACCTAGTCAGCACACAATGCATGCTGATAGTAAATTCAAATGCAATTTATGGATCAATGATTGACAGGTGGAGCTACCTGGATAAAACAGAGACTGAATTAAAAGCAGAGACTGCAGGGACACATTATAACATCACTTATAAGAATTGGTTATGGTGCATAGAGTGTCCCTTTAAATACCATGACAGTTTAATGGAACACTGTAGGGTCAGGAATACAAACTTATATTCCTGACTATGTAGTGTTAAAAATGCAGTTGAGGCCCTTGAACCCCCCTCCCCTTTCTTAAAAATTGTTAAAACATACTTTATTCCACTGCCGTGTGTGTCTGCCAGTGCTGGTCCTGTCCCCAACCTGTATCCTTGGCTGACATTATCAGAAATGATCTCAGCCAATCATAATGCCATAGAAAAGATGATTTCAGCCAAGGAGGCGGGCACAGTGGTGGAGCCAAATGCCACTCTAGCCAATCAGCAGCTTCTCACAGAGATGCATTAAATCAATGCATCTCGAATGAGAAAGTTCAGCGTTTCCATGTAGAGCGTGAAGATGCTGAACGTCAGGAAGCACCTCTTTTGGCAATGTCCGAGTGACTGGCTTGGGGAGCAATGCAAATACTACAGGGACTGACTACACTCACCAAAACAACTACATTAAGCTGTAGTTGTTCTTTTGACTATAGTGTCCCTTTAAAAACTGTAATATTGATAATTTGATATGCATTGAAGGAGCTATGCAAATGGTATCTTGTCTCCCTAATGTATGCTGTTTATGTCTGCACATAAAAACAAAACAAACAAACAAAAAAATAAGCTCAATCCCCGTTATTATCCAATACATTAACTCAAACACTATAGGCACCAGAACCACTACCGCTTAACACTGAACAGTCCCCATAGAGAAGCACTGACTCAATGCATCTCCATGAGGAGATGCTGATTGCCGCATTCTGGCAATTTGCCATGCATGCGTACTAGTCTCCCAACAGGGAAGCACTGGACTGTCTGAGATCATCAGGACTGATTATTTAATCCAGCAGAAGTGGTTTAGCACACAGAGATCAGCACTCTGGGCGAAGTAAGGCAAATAAAACCATTGCCTCCTCCACTGCATTTTGGAACATAAATATCTATAGCGACAGAATTACATGTTTGCATTCATAACACTATAGTGTTTCTTTAATGGAAGTCTAATCCAAGCAAAATATGGGATACATGATCAAATGTAAACCCAAAAATGTTATGCCATAGGCACCTGCCTTTCTTGTTGGGTTTTACGTGTTATTGCAAAGAGTATACTGCAGCGTAAGAAAGTCAGATAGCTGTCTAAATCCTCAATCTCTACGATGCAAATCAGCGTCACTATAGCAAAAGGGATTTACTGAGGCCTAGCATTTAAATCCAATTCAATGAAATGAAATGTCAAATTAATTTACGATATAATCTTACTGCTGACAAGGCCAGGATTTGTTGCTGAATGGTTTCCTCTTCACTATAGCCAACCCATGGAGGTACTGCTGCCTCTAAAGAATACATATATATAATTTCTCGTTAATTACAAAAACATTCATTTTAACATGACACCACAAAGACTGATTAAATACAGGCACAATTAAATCTCAATATAATTAGCAAGATACATGAAATCTGTTTATGCAAGTAGATATTTGCATTTTAGGAGGACTGTGATTCTCGTTTTGTTGCTTTTATACATACCTAGGTATTTCCACCAGAATGGAAAAGAAGGAAGATCAGATTTATTAAATTTGTAGAAAATGTATGAATCAATACTAATTCCCTCCCATCTACCTACTCTGAAAGTTCGTGTTTCCACAATCCTCACAGAAAGCCATACTGAATAAGCAAATAAAGAATATTACAATACGCAATCCACATTTAAGCAGACTCCCTTAGCAATGACATGTTTTTTAAAAAAAACTGCTTTACACACCAATAAATTGAAATGGACCAAAAAGACCAACAATGGTGTGACTCCGGTATAATGCCATTTAGATAAGTGATGATCTTCTAAAAGAGGACATGTAAAAATTGTACTACAACTCAAAGAAATTTTTCCTGTGCCCACACTGTAAAAGAGCATCATAACTGACCAAGTCAGTGTCTGGTGTGTGCAGAGCCAGAGAAAGTTGCAAAGCCTGGGAAAGAATAACAAACTGGCGTATACTATATTTGGTGTGTCCCCTACTTACACATTTTATTTTAAAACATCACCTATATGTTGCTTCAAAAAGAATGAGTCTGCTCTTATCTGCCTGAGCCATTAACAAATCAATAGTGACAGAAGGGACATTATACATACTTAAATTTTGCCATTTTTTTTTTACAATTAATTTGATAATGCAGAGCTTGAGGATGTCCAGCATCAGATACTGGACCAAAAGGTCTGTTTTAATTCAGGAAGTCCCTCTAGTAGCGGTCTGGTAGACAGCCACTAGAGGTGGAGTTAACCCTCAGAGGTAATTACTGCAGTTTCTCATTACCACTGTAGGGCTAAGGGACATTGCACCCAGACCACTTTAATAAGCTGAAGTGGTCTGGGTGTCTACAGTGTCCCTTTAGTACATTTCAGTGAGAAGATTGCAACTTGAACAGTCAAACTTCACAAATATAAATTCTAACTATGAATAATTTACCTGTTTTCTTTAAATTTTTTTCATTGACAAATTTGTCCTGCTCCTTTTGAAAATCACCAATGATTGACTAAAAACAAAAAGACAAGAATTTAGGAGCAGAATTCCTAAGCTGCTAGTATTGTTATACAAACATATGACAATTGTTTTTCAAGCTGATCTCCGAATATCAGCAAAGAACAATGGACATATTACCCCACAGATATGAAAACCCAACAGCGTGGCTAAACATCAAGTTAAACCTGTTAAAAGGTGACTCGAAGAATCGCAACAACTTCGATCATTGTAAAGGTTATCATGAAGAGTACCATTCACCCTTTCTCCCTGTATCTAACACAGGAATTGGGTTGTTTTCACTCTGAAACTGTAAATAGGGCTGTGTGTAAACAGTTTTTAAAATTGTTAACAGTTTAGAAAGCAGCTGCAATAAATCATTTATTTCATAAATCACAACTGGGTAGGAGTTTATGGAGATAAAAAAAAAAAAAAAAGAATCTCATCGATCACAATACAAGGTTTGAGAGGTCTGCTTGTATTTGCAGACATTCTTTCGCACAGATTTTAAAGTAGAGCATTTTTTTTTTTTATTTTTTTTTTAAACACAGTGTATAACGTTTTGGGTATTTCCCTATTGTTTTAGATTAACCAAAGGAGAGATCCTTCTTTATTTCAACTTTTACTTTCTAATAAAATGTTTATTTCAATTGCTGCATTAATTTACTTGACAATTACTGTATAACAAGCAAAGTACAAAAAAGGCAAGAATAATTGTTTAGAGAGGCAGATACAAATTTATATTTTTATATGTGGTTACATGAAATGTATCAGTCTATATACACACATCCAATAGTTGTAAACTACAATTCTCACAATACTTAAACTTCACATTTCTAACAATACATTTTAAAACAGAATAAATCAATAATTTATGTTATACATAATTTCACAGAATTCGTAAAACATTTGATGAAAATAATCAACCCAATAAAGAGAAATAAAAAGATATTAACATGTCATTTTACTCCAACGCACCCTCCCAAGAGAAAAGAACATACCTTGTCAATAATACCATCAATTTTGCCTTCTTCAACTGACTTCTTGATAGTATGGGCAGTTTCAGTTACGGATTCTGTTATCTTTTTTGTAGCAACTGATGCAAAACTCATAAGATAACCTTTACAGATAAGAACAAAACAGATTGTTAAGTTTGCGTTTTAAAAACTGCTGCACAATGCATTAAACCATATAATTATTTTAATATACGAGGACACCGATAAGCAAAGGTAGATTCACAACTTTTGCAGATCTAAACTTCCTTGAGGCACTGCGAATTTAAAAGGATACTCCAACCACCATGACAACTTTAGTGATTGGAAGTGCTGATGGTGGTAGGAGAATTTATGTGCAGTGTTTCAGCGTGAAACACTGCACATACGAAGTTTTCTGCACTTGTGTGCTGGAGGATAGTTGCATCCCAGTACACATGACATTGGCAGCCTGGAACTCTGTTCCGGGCTGCCTATGTAAACTCTGTGCATAAAAATTATTACAAATTTATGTATATGTTTATTGCATGCTGAAAAAAGATGGGGGGAAGGAACTTTGCAGACAAAGGATTTCAGGTAAGTAAAGGATCTTTTTTTGACGGTTATTCTGCAAATCCTACAACAGTGGAGGATCTGTCTTTGGGAATGCAAATTATATCATATATATATTCTTTTTTCTATCTTCATTTTCATCAAGAGGAACCCAAAATCTCTTAGTGTACATCAATGAGCAGAAAAATCAAAGTGTTATTCATATTAAAAGGGAAATGTTAGAGTAAGAATTACCCCCTATTTGTAATGCATTATGAAAAATAAAAAATAAGAGACATTCATCTTCAAAGCTTCCCTCATTGCAGAGTTCGTTCTTGCTCAGGAAGGATTTTGTAACTATTGACACTTTATGCCAGCACAAGGCCAATCACTGCCAGCCAGCACAAGGCCAATCACTGCCAGCCATCACAAGGCCAATCACTACCAGCCAGCACAAGGCCAATCACTACCAACCAGCACAAGGACAAGCACTGCCAGCCAGCACAAGGCCAATCACTGTCAGCCAGCACAAGGCCAATCACTGCCAGCCAGCACAAGGCCAATCACTGTCAGCCAGCACAAGGCCAATCACTACCAGCCAGCACAAGGACAAGCACTGCCAGCCAGCACAAGGCCATGCAGTCAGGATGTGACACTCACTGCCCAGCCCCTTGGCTTGTCTCAGTAGGACATCCTCCGTCTCTTCTTGCTGGGGTTCCTGCGGCTCTCCTTCGCCTCCCTGCTCTATGCCGGCTTGTCCATGCTGGGTGTCTGCAGGCTGCTCCCCCTCTCTGCCCGGCTCCTTCTCCTCGGCAGTGGTGGTGGTGGTCGGTTCAGGGTCCAGCCCCAGCCAGCTGCCTAGACCTCGAAACATGGTGAACAGTTACCCAAATGTAGTGAGCGGCCGCCTTGATGCCCGCAGCTCCTGGCACCCCGCCACCCGGATGGCCTACTGCTGCTGCAGATGTTGTTGTTGTTGTGATTCTCGTCGTTCCTGGTGCCAACAGTGAGCACTTCCTGGTCCGGGCGGTGACGTGCGCAGATGATCCCGTGTCCAATCAGAACCCGCTCCAAGCTCTCTGAATGCCACGCCCCCTGCCTGTCAACAGACCAATCGGCGCCTGGCTACTGCCGTTACACCTGCTACTTCAGCAGATAGGAAAGGAGTTCTACACAACAAAGCGAGCAACGCATCTTACAACTCTCTGTGCACCTCAGACACATACATATTATATTCATATTCCCTTTCGGACAAATTAAAGTACTCCACTTAACTGATAAAAAGCTGTAATTTCTGAGTGCTCACTCTTGTACTTAGAACTCTAGCCGGAGCTGGTCATTGGGTTGGAGCGCACGTGGTCAGGGAAGCCTTGTTGTCACGTAATGCACACGCACGTGACCTTGTTTACTAATACTCTGTCCAGGTCCACGAGCCTGCTGACAGTTGCACTCAGGGTGATTCACTGACATTGCAGGGATTCTATAGAGAATTTCACGTTTAAGAGCAAACTACCTGAAATGGGAAAATTAAAAAATATCTAACTTCTTACTTTAGTGAATAATCCGGACAGTGTATTCTTTATGTCCTGAATTTAACTTTTGTAAGGGTAAAGCCATGGAACTGATAAGGTAGCAGAGGTTTATTCACTAATGAATTTAACCCCTTAAGGACGGAGCCAAATGTACACGTTGTGAACAAAACAAAATGTAAACAAAACCTGGCGTTTGCGCTACATGTCTGTCCAACCGTAATTCACCTCTTTCATAGTAAATGCACCCACCCTTATTATATATCATTTTATTCAGGGGAAACAGGGCTTTCATTTAATATCAAATATTTAGCTATGAAACATAATTTAATATGAAAAAAATGGGAGAAAATACGATTTGTTTTATTTTTTTAGTTCTACATGACATTTTAACGGTCAATGTCATAATACTGTTTGCTTTTACTGCAATAAAATACACATATTTGTATTCAGTAAAGTCTCACGTGTAAGACAGTACCCCTATGTACAGGTTTTATGGCGTTTTGGGAAGTTACAGGGTCAAATATAGCACGTTACATTTGAAATTGAAATTCGCCAGATTGGTTACGTTGCCTTTGGGACTTTATAGTAGCTCAGGAATGAAATTTACACCCATAATGGCATATCATTTGCAATAGTAGACAACCCAAGGTATTGCAAATTGGGTATGTCCAGTCTTTTTTAGTAGCCATTTGGTCACAAACACTGGCCAAAGTTAGCGTTAGTATTTGTTTGTGTGTGAAAAATGCAAAAACGCCAATTTTGGCCAGTGTTTGTGACTAAGTGGCTACTAAAAAAGACTGGACATACCCCGTTTGCAATACCTTGGGTTGTCTACTATTGCAAATGGTATGCCATCATAGGGGTAATTTTCATTTTTGGGCTACCATAGGGTCTCACAGGCACCGTAATCAATCTGGCAAATTTTAATGTGAAAAAAATGAAAAGCAAGCCTTATATTTGACGCTGTAACTTTTGAAAACACCATAAAACCTGTACATGAGGGGTACTGTTGTACTCGGGAGACTTAGCTGAACACAAATATTTGTGTGTCAAACCAGTAAAAAGTATCGCAGCAATAATATCGTCTATGTAAGTGCTGTTTGTGCGTGAAAAATGCAAAAAACTTAACTTTTACTGGCGATATCATTGTAATACATTTTACTGTTTTGAAACACTAATATTTGTGTTCAGCGAAGTCTCCTGAGTAGAACAGTACCCCCCATGTACAGGTTTTATGGTGTCTCGGAAAGTTATAGGGTTAAATATAGTGCTAGCAAATTAAATTCCCTTTACTTTCGGCATGGGTTGTCAGGCAGGTCCCGCTAATTATAATTAATTAAGATACCTAATTATGTAAAAATATTACATAAATATATATGTAGAATTAATATATGTATGTATATATATATATATATACGTATGTGAATCTATATGTGTATATCTATATAATTTTTTAAAAATATTTTTATTTATATATAGGTATATATATAGTGATATATACGTATATATTTATGTATATAGATATACATATTATTTCGTTCTACGTGTATTTTGATATATATATATATATATTCATTTCACAATACAGTTAGAACGAAATAACACACATCTATATATTTTTTAATTAATTTTATTTTATTTTTTAACGTATTTACATTTTTATTTTTTTATATTATATATAAATATATATATAACAATAATTATATATTTATTTAATCAGTATCAGTCTACGTGTAATTTGATATATATATATATATATATAATTATATATATATTAATAGTAAAATACACCTAGACGGTGTACGTGTGTGTATGCATAATATATATATATATGATCTAAGTATATATAATTATTTTTTTTTACACTATTTAATTTATTTTAATTTTATTTTCAGCCAGCAGGGGGACCACCTGTCATTACAGGCAGCCCCCCTGCTGGCAATACAGGAGGCAGCTACCCCCGGCCATGTGATTGTGGGGTCCTCGCAAGGACCCCACTCTCACATGGCCGGGGGGCTTCCAGGACGTCGGACGTGCCGCGTGCCGGGTAAGTAGGAAAAGACCGGAGGGCGTACTATTACGCCCGGCGGCGTTTAGAGCCGCTTAGAATAGGGCGTAATAGTACGCCCTCCGGTCTTAAGGGGTTAAATCACATGGCAATATTTAGCCTAAAATAGCCCACATGTGACAGAAACATAGAATGTGACGGCAGATAAGAACCATTCGGCCCATCTAGTCTGCCCAATTTTCTAAATACTTTAATTAGTCCCTAGCCTTATCTTATAGTTAGGATAGCCTTATGCCTATCCCACGCATGCTTAAACTCCTTTACTGTGTTAACCTCTACCACTTCAGCTGGAAGGCTATTCCATGCATCCACTACCCTCTCAGTAAAGTAATACTTCCTGATATTATTTTTGACTGTAGCTGAACTGAAGAATATTGCCTAAATTTTGTCATTCAGGTTTAGCTAACGTAAAGATATTTCTTGAATTTAGTCTTAAATTTTAACAATGTGAAGAGAATAAAAATCTGAATTGCAAAATTAAGGCTACAGCGTAGGTACAGAATCTTTCCAAATGAGCTGTTTTGCTGAATTTAGTGAATAGCTCTGCTTGAGAACACATTGAATCTCTGATTAAAGGGACTCTGTAGTCACCTAGATCACTACATGTCAAAGTGGTCTGGGTGCAGTGTTTCTGTCCTTGCAATGTAAATTATGACAGCTACAAAAGGCGCTTGTGTGGCATGAAAGCCCCCATAGGAAACCATTGACGCCATGCATTCCTATGGGATAGATTGAATGTGAATCAGCACTTTTAGGACTTTATGGCAATTTGGATACATTCCCTGGTAGTCAAGCTCACTGCCACGAGGGCTTACTGATTTACTCCACTTCAATGATTGATCAAGCAGAAGCGAATAGCTTCTAAGGTAAAGATTAGACAATATGAGATCACTCTATTGGGCAATTGTCTTAGACCGGAAGGACAGAGGGCGTCCACATAGCAATAGGAGTCAAAGCAATCAAGATGCCTGGGGACGCCTGGCACCATAACCACTTCATCATTAAGTAGTTGTTATGGTGCCTAGAATGTCACTGTAAGAATAAGTTATGTCTTTCACATTTTAATTTCTTGGAAGGAAGTTGGGTGACAGTTGTGTTAACTGCCAGAGGATCAACCTAAAATCGATATTTTTTATTTTTATACCCCCTGAAAGTAAGATGGTGCCGTGACACTCCTGCCCCATAACTTCAATGAGGTAAAATTGTTATGATGGTAGGAGTGTTCCTTCAGTTACAGTAAAATGGAATGTGGACATGGGTTAGGACTGGGTTAAGTGAATTTTAACATAAAAGCAAATTCAGGTCATCGTATTTTCTAGATATAAAAGCCAAGTTGTTTACGTATACTTTTGTCACACTCCACATCCTCACACTGGTGAGAACACAATTGCAATATGCAGTTTCATTTCACCTGTACGGTCAGTCATTTTTACGCTCCTGGGTTATTCCAGTCAGGTTGAGTAGAGCTTCTCTTGCAACTGGCTTCTTAAAGCAGGGGGAAAAAAATAATCTACCCAATGTATATAATTCTCCCTTTCTGCATTACTTTAAAAAAAAATAATGGGGAATACACCTTCTATAGTTGCTCAATTCCATTCTCTCTTTTGTTTTTAAGTAGATCTCATTAGCTTCACTGGAGTCCCTACAGAAGAAGTACAGGGTTTTTTACACTTTGGGCAGGTTTTACATAGTTGTGGTTATTTATTACCTGTCCCTTATTTGTCCAGTTACAACAGCAGTGGCTGATAATTTTGCAGAGTTTCTATTTTGACACCTTTTTTTTTTTTTTGGGTTGTTGTATCCTAGTGAAGTATACACATAATATCTTTCCTACTTCCATTGACGGGGATAGAGACATTAATAATTAGTTGCAATACAGCATTTAGAGGATTATAGGTTTAAGAGGGCAGCTATTTTACGACTATTTTCATTTGTGGAATCTTGGAACTCGAGCGGTCCGTTATCCGAACAATTCGGTAGTTGAACAAAAAGTTAGAGGAAAAAAAAAAAAAAGTCTTGGTAGATGAACAATTCTCGGTACCCGAATAAATCATGTCACAAACATGTTCAAGCTTATAGTGCTATGTTTCACTTTATACAAATGTTAAATGCCAGAAGAACAGTTTCCTTTCCAACAAATCCAATAATATTTCTTCTCCTTTCCACTTACACCAATTAACTCTCATCATTACAGGTAAAGTTACACTTTCATTTACTGTACATTGCGTTTATTATTTTATTTCTATATGATTTTATGCATGTAAGGCATTATTAAACTTTAAAATTTGTGTTAAAATGCTGTAATTTGGGGGATCTGGAATAGATTACCGTATATCCTCGAGTATAAGACGAGTTTTTCGGCACATTTTTTGTGCTGAAAAACCCCCACTCGTCTTATACTCGAGTCACTATCTGTATTATGGCAACTTACATTGCCATAATACAGACCAGGACCGCCGGGCTCATTACAAGCCCGGCGGTCCTGTTGGGGGCTGGCAGGGAGCTGTAACTTACCTTTCCTGCAGCTCCTGTGAGCTCCCTTCTCCTCCGTTCTGGTCAGCTCCCCACTGTAAGTCTCGCTAGAGCCGCGGCGTCAGAGCGTTGCGACGGGTTACCATGGCAACGCTCCGCACAGCACCCAGACCGGCGAGACTTACACTGGGAGCTGACCGGAACGCAGGAGAAGGGAGCTGCAGGAAAGGCAAGTTACAGCTCGCTGCCAGTCCCCTCCTACACAGCCAATGCCACTGAACCACCAGTGAATAACATAGCCCCCTCCCTGGCCATGTATCAAGCAGGGAGGGGGGACAAAAAAAGATATAAATACAAATGTAAATAATATAATAAAATAAAAAAAAATTAAAATAAAAATATTTAATATTAATTTTTTTTAATATTAAAATAATAATTTAAAAAAATAATAAAAATGCTCACCCCCCACCAAGGTTACACACACTGCATCACATATACAAACACACTCTGTATCATACACACTGCATTATATACATAAAATAAATATTCAATTAATGTAATTTTATTTAGAAATTTACCAGTAGCTGCTGCATTTCCCACCTTAGTCTTATACTCGAGTCAATAAGTTTTCCCATTTTTTGGGGGTAAAATTGGGGGTCTCGACTTATATTCGGGTCGACTTATACTCGAGTATATACGGTAATCAAATTTACATTAATTCTGATGGGAAATGTTGATTCGGTTTTTGAACAAATTGGAATTCGAACAGCCTTCTGGAACGTTTGAGTTCCGAGGTTCCACTGTATCTGATTTATTTCTCGTCTCTACATTGAAAATAATCAATTTAATACAAATTAGCAATAAAGGTTACATTTTAATATTTCCTGAAGCAATTCCTGGATAATGCTTTTAGCCAGATTTTATATCTTTAGCAAAGTCCACTTATCTTTACGGATAGCAGTGATTTCTGTGGTATTCCAATCTTTGTGTATTATATTACAATATCCCTCTCTCATTTCAGAAATGGGTCAACATACTTGTAATTAAAAGACCAGTTTAGGCACCATAAGAACTTAATCAAAATAAAGTTGTGATAGTGCCAGGGTGTCTCTGTGAACAGTTTAACCCCTAAAGGTGAACCTGCACCAAACGGTTCAACCCTAAAATTTGTGCTCCAGTTCTTGTATCACTCTGTTCCACAACCTTCCACTATCTGAAATCTTACATGGAAGGCTTGGGCAGCATTGGGCAGGGGCACAGCTGATTGGTTTAGAGTGGTCAGTTGAGGCACTAAGCCAATCAGTAGCCCCACATCATAAATATGTACCACCAGCTTCCATCAGGTCCAATTCTTATGTTACCACGGTAACCTGAATTTATTTAGGCATGGCAACTTGCTTGAAAAGTTGTCAAACATTTTGGAATGTTTCCATTGACTGTAATAATAAGACTTTGCATGCAATTGAATTTGTGGCATGAAATTTTCTTTTAGCTTAGATATCAGAAAACTTTTTTCAAAATGCCTTATCTTGGAATTATTTGAACAATCTTGCGTGCAGCTTATCTACATTGCTAAAAGCTATTCTGTTAGACAAATCATTCGGCATCACTGGCAAAACAATATAACATTATACATTACATAAATAAAAAGTGACATTTGTTTTAACCAATATTATGCTAATTTATTTATAAAAAAATATCATTACTCAATACAAATCAAACACAAAGAACAGGTTCTAAATTTGCAAATATTCTAACAATCGTCAGTGGCAAATGCATTATTCAATGCCTTCTTGTTTGTCTTTGATTGCAACCTGCAAAATATATAAATATATATTAGTGTTTATTTACTATTGAACCCACAATAAACAAAAACATTGCATGTATGTTCTCTGTATAATTATATAAATCAAGAATGAATAAAAAAAAAAAAAAAGTTATTAATATAAAAACCATTGCTTTTATTCCTGGATATAATCCAAAAGGCTAAATTCTACAAGCCTTTTTTTCCCGCATATGTGGACCCAATGTAGCAGTTTAGTAGTTTTACATTACTGTGAATCAGCTACTTTAGCGAGAGTGAATTCTAACAGCAACTGTTCTGGTAACATTATGACAATATGCTCAAATTAAATAAAGATAGTTTTACATTTGTTGAATAATTCTTGGCAAAAATGGCACTTAAATTTTATTTTAAAGATCTGGGATGTCTACCAGTCTTTCCTTTTTATTTTAGTGTTACCATTTTGGCCAAGTACAAAATTATTACACAATGGCCCCCCAATTTAATTGGCACAATACAGTATCAACAAACCAATATGTGTTTGTTAATTCAGCATAAAGACAGGTTACATACTCTGAATCTTTCTTCAAGAAGGGACAATTCACTTATTAAGTCAGTAATTGCATTGGTGAATGCTTCTTGAGGGCTGTAGTCAGGGGTTGTCTGAACTCTTATAATAATTTTGTGTTCCAGTGGATGTGGAACTTTATATCCAGCAAACAGCACCTGAGGATCTTTCAGCAACTGACTAGAAATAAAACACAAACATTCGAATTTTTACAACTAAAATCACATTAACAGTTCCACAGTGAAATTGGTACTAAAATGTTTAATCAGTTTTGCAATATATAATTTAATGAAGGGTCAATTCACTAAACAATGGACTTGCTTTAGCAAATCTGGTCAATTTCATTCAGTTGACATTCTTCTGTGGTTCACCGTATTTAATAATCTATAAGCAAAAACCACATGGAGAGACAAAATTACTATTAAACAATTAATATTAGCTAGGTGCAAACCATACAAGCACTCAAGTGCTTAAACACTATAATCACTATATAATATAGAATGCATACTATAACACTCAGATATTAAATATAAACCTTTAATTAGTATGCAAATGAATATTTTTACATATTATAAAAAAAAAAAAAAGGAACAGAGTAACAGTACAAGGCAAATTGCACACAAAATAATATATCCAAACCTTACAAGCCTCAAGGCAGAGACACCCATACCCTTAACCTTGATATAGTGTGCATTCTATATTATATAGTGATCACTGTATTTAATAACAATCAAACGGAGACGAATGATTGCTTGATAATTTCAGATGGATCTTACTACTGACGTGAGATTCATTTGAAAAGAGCAGGTACCAGTACTTCAGTGAATAAAGAGATCTAAGAGCTACTTGTGTTTCCTTTAAATTAAAGAGGCACTAAAGGCACCATCACCACTTCCTTTTTAATTGAAGTTGTCATGCTTGGTTAAATCCTCCTTCCTGCCACTACATGCCCTGCTGTGAGTAGGGGCATGTCTACTAAACAATGAGTAACCAGTGGCTGTTCACAGTCATAGGAAAAGACAAGCCACTAGGCAGCTATGGCTAATCTTTGTGGGATTCTCATAAGTATACCAAAAAGGACCTACTAAACAGCTCCCTAATCTGATACCCTTAAATATGGCAATCCCACAAGGGTACCAATTTAGGGAGGTTTTTTTTAACTTAACAGCTTCAAGATGCAGCCGCATTTCGTCAGAAAACGAATGAACAACAGACGAAATTCAGTTAAGCCCAAACTTGAATTTTGGTGGCACTTAGATCTAGTATTTATACCTGTAACTAATCATTGCACTTGCCCAAGGCAATTGATGAAGTGAATTAAAGATGGGACTTCATCTGTGCATAATACTTACATTGCATTAGTAAGGCCTTTGTAAGTATATTTCTGCAAATTTACCAGCCAAGTTACAGACAAGCCTATTTGGCTGCCTCTCAGTTCATACTTCATAGAAACCCATCCTACAGTTCATCAAATTATTGGGCTGGACACAGTGAAATTTTGAAGAGGAACTATCTTAGATGTGATCTTCAAAAACATAGCACAGTTGTCAAAATTCTAATTCAGTTCTACTTTGGCCTAAAATTTGCAATTCACATGTTTAGTTCTAAACAATTAACCGGTTTTGTGAACAGTGTACTGCCCCTCAGAGCTGTCAGATACGTGTCAACTTGGCCTGAAGCTTTGAGCTCTTTCTTCAACTAAGAGCTGCACATAACCAAGTTAATTGTTTAGTGGCTATTTTAAAAGACATCAGATCTATATAAATTCATTGATAAAATGATGAATCACAAGAAAATATTTAAAAACATAAAAAAATGTTTAAAAAAATAGTGTTTTACTCATATTATAGAAAGTTGTGGTAATATTTATGAACCCTGCATAGTACTTACGATTTAATGATGTTTCCTATTGTATGATCTTCCTTGTTTATGGTAAATAAACAAGCATTTGGTACTTTTGTGTCCTTTGTAATTGTTATCCTGCAAAAACAAATACAAAAATATATAAGCTTTTTTTTTTTTTGCTTCAAAAAGAACAAAAGATAAAAAAAGATTTACTCTAGTTGTAAGATATAATGGCATGAACTTTTTAAAAGAACATTCTTACCTGCACAACAACTGCAGCTCACAGAAATTGTTATGGAGGCAGAAGTATCTGGGTGCCTTACCTTTCTTGAAGTTGGGGCTCTGGCACAGCCGTCCCCCGGGCTTCCTTTCTCTGCCTCCACAGTATAAGGAAGATTTGGACAGGAAGTCCGTGATCGGGGTCCTCTAAGCACCAATATAATGCCACTTTAAATCGAAACTGGAAATGATAGTTCCTCACTTACCCATATTGATGTCTTTACAGGAGCAAATAATGATGAGGCATAAAGAATAAAACATGCCTCTGCTGCCCCATGATGCATCAGGCATCCACAAAGAAATGTCATATAAATTCATGTGGACAAGGCAACAAACAATCTTGCCTTCTTTGTGTATTTAAATCTAGTGCATACTACCAGTGAATTTTATCTTCCTGTATAATTAAGATTGTTAGATATACTAATTGAGGCTATTTCTTTCTTTATGTATTCATTTTTGTTACCTTTCTTTATATGAGAACTGATTGCACATGCTGGAACTTGCTTTACTTTTCTGTTTATTAAAAAGGGACACTCCAGGCACCATAACACTCCAGGCACTCTTAATTCAGCCAAAAGTTAACTTAATTTACATGACATGCGTCATTTTATGTAATTTATAAAGCACACATATACTCAGACAATCTTTTAAAGAGACACTATAGTCACCCAGACCACTTCAGCTCAATTAAGTGGTCTGGGTGCCAGGTCCCTCAGGTTTTAACCCTTCACATGTAAACATAGCAGTTTCAGAGACACTGCTATGTTTACATAGCAGGCTTAATCCAACCTCTAGTGGCTGTCTTCTTGACAGCTGCTAGAGGCGTGCAGAACGTCCATAGGAAAGCATTGAGAAATGCTTTCCTATAGACCACGGCACTTGCTGTGCACGCGCATTACGCTCCACCCGGGAGCTGATGTCGGCGGGGGAGGAGAGGTCACCAGCGCCGAGGGAGCCCGGCAGTGAATTAAGGTAGGTTAAAACCCCTTCAGCACCACGGGAGGGGAACCCTGAGGGTGGGGGTACCCTTAGGGCACTATAGTGTCAGGAAAACCGCTTTGGTTTGAGTCACATGTAAGGCTACTTTTATTTTCTGGCATGCCCTGATATTTTTCAAATATAATTTGCACGATCCATAGCTAGCTTTTAGTGACTCTTATATTAAATGATACACTACAAGTCAAGAAACATTGAACATAGAGTATCTATTTGTATTTAAGCCACAGAATATTTTTCACTGCTTTAACTGTGATGGTGAGTGCAGTAATGAACTCAAGTATTACCTTACTAAAATCATTGTTAGAGGCAGATATATGGAGATGCACAACCCAAATGAAGTCTAAATCTATGGAATGTACACTCAGCACCTTTCAATGGTTTTAATGTTGGATGAAGTGAATAACATTGATTAAAATGTTACAATGGCACCTGTAAAGGGATGGGATATATTAGGCAGCACAAACAGTCATAGACACCCAAGGCTCACTGATGCATGTGGGGAGTGAAGGCTAGCCACACAAGAGCTACTGTAGCTCAAACTGCTGAAAAACGTAATGCTGGCCAGGATAGAAAGTGGTCAAAACACACAGTGCATTGCAGTTTGTGGTGCATGGGGTTGCGTAGCCGCAGACCAGTTAGAGTGCCCATGATGACCCCTGTCCACCACCGAAAAAGCCTGCAATGGGTATGTGAGCATCAGACAATCTATTTGTTCTGACACACAAAATAATTTTAGATTGGGGTCCCTGTCTAGTGCCTTGAATTTACAGCAATGGTAGAATACTGCCTGATTTGATTAATCACGTTTTCTTTTAGGTCAGGTGGCTATCCGGGGTGCATGTGAGCTGATTACCTGGAAAAGATGTCAGCAGGATGCACTATAGGAAGAAGGCAGGCTGACAGAAGCAGTGTTATGCTCTGGGCAATGTACAATGTTCAGCTGGGAAACATTGGGTCCTGGCATTCATGTGCCTTTTACTTTGATACGTACCACCTACCTAGAGATGGTTGCAAACCATGTACACCTCTTCATGACAATGGTGTTCCCTGATGGCAGTAACCTCTTCCAGTAGGATAATGCACCCTGCCACAGTTGTTCAGGAGAGGTTTCAGAAACATGATAGATTGTAAGGTGTTGCCCTGGCCTCCAAATTCCCTAGATCTCAATTCAATTGAGCATATGTGGGATGTGCTGGAAGAACAAATCCGATCCATGGAAGCCCTACCTTGCAATTCTCAGGACTTAGAACAGCACTATTCAAATATTCATTGTCTCCTCCCTCAACATGCAGATACTGAACTTTCCTCATAGAGATGAATTGAATCAATGAATCTCTATGAGGAGATGCCGATTGGCCAGGGCTGTGTTTTAATCATGCCGACTCAGACCCTGATCTGCCTCCTTGTCAGTCTCAGCCAATCCTATGGGGAAGCATTGTGATTGGATCAGGCCACCACTTCTGATGATTTCAGAGGAAGTTCACTGGCAGAGGTAGCAGCTTCAGACTTGAATACAAGTAAGATTTTACTATCTTTAGGGAGGCAAAGGGGGCTAGATAGTGGTTTTAACACTATAGGGTCAGGAATACACGTTTGTGTTCCTGACCCTATAGTGTTCCTTTAAAACATAAGACAAAGTAGGGACTATTTTGTCTTATGGAGGTTTCCTACGCCTGACCATCTATGACCAGCGGAGGAGCAAAGTGTGCTCCGTTTCCTGTGGTCAGAGAAATTTTCCCACAATTCATATCTTTCCTCCGTGATCTTGCGATGCTTCCTGTCAATATTCCTGAACGTCCTGTCACAGACAGAACGCCGGGGAAACTACCGAATTTCGTCCTAACAGAATGAGAACAGTTTTAAGCAACCAATCACAGTGTTATGAGTCAACTTACACAAATTCCAAAGAACTTTTCCACACTGGGTAAAATTACTCCGAGCACTCTGATAGGTTGGATCCCAAGCCAACCAGAGTTCTGTGACAGGTGAATATAGAGACTTACCTGTCAGAGGATTGATTGGTTGGTTTGGAATCAACCAGAGTGCTTTAAGTGAAATTGCAGGGCATGGGAAGGCTTTATAAGCCTTTCCCTACCCTGCGGAGCTCAGTCTGAGCCTGGGTAAAGATGGATTTTTTTTTTTTTGTGTTGTGTTTTTTTTTATTGTGCTCAGGTTTATTTTAACAGTTGCAATGGTAATTATGGATTTTTATTTGGCATTTTTTGGGGAGGAAAAAAAAATAAGATTTAAAAAAAAAAACCAACAACAACAACAAGGGGATTCGGCCAGGACAGTGCCGCTTTTGGCTCTTATTTTTTATTTTGTTCTATATTTCATTATATTATTACACACTGTTGCCTAGACTCCCCAAGCTTAGTTTTCAGGTGTTTCAATTGTACAATGTTGCGTACAGTTTCACTTTGCTCTACCTGATGCGCAAGATACAATACCAACAATCAGAGCACCTTGAGAATATAAAAAAAATGACTGACACTACTAAAACATTTTTTCATTTAGACCTGCATGTCTAAACATCCCTACATTGAGATCTGAGAGTCTCTCTCTGTTTGTTTGCAAGTATCAAAAAGTGCATTTTTCAACTTTCTATGTTAAAATTCACCTTATTTGGAGCGACATGCAGGTCTGCCGACACTGGCCCTCCCCCAATCTGTCTCCTTGGTGACATCAGGATTTCCAAGAGGAAAAGCGTTTGGCTGAAATCGTCAAGGATGCGGATGGGTCCAAACGCCGTTTTGGCCAATAAACACTTCCTCATAGAGATGCATAACTATGAGAAAATATCAGCGTCTCCATGCAGAGCGTGGAGATGCTGAATAGCGGCACTGCCCCAGGAAGCACCTCCAGTGGCCATCTGAGGAATGGCCACATGGAGGTGTCCCTAGGGGGCAGTTTAAATACTTGAAGGCAATGATTATACTCACCAGAACAGCTACATTAAGCTGTAGTTGGTCTGGTGACTATAGTGACCCTTTATGTGGTTGAAATAAACCTTTAACTCCATCCAGTCTCTCTACCTTTGGTACCTTCATGCATTGCCTGCAGTTCTCTTGAGTGAAAGCACAGAAAATATAGCTCAAAACACTGTCACCAACCCCATAGCTGACGTTGGGCAACATACCTGCAGTTCAGTTCATCTCACTGAAGTGGTGTGGGTGCAGTGGCCCTGTCCTTTTAACCCTGCAATGTTTACATCGTAGGGTTAAAGCCTCATCAGTATGACGTACAGAAGAGGTGCTTTCACTGCACAGACAAAGTAACACTTCCTATGGGACACACACTGCACATGCACACTGGCTTCCCAATTCTCCTCTATGAGGTTGTGGTTAGTGTAACAATGAGCAGTTTGGCGAAGTAAAACCTTTATTTAAACACTGGGGAGGGGTTCTTAACTTAAAAAAAAGTGTATTTTCCCCCCATCTATATAATGCTTTAAAAATAAGGGGGGCCATTCTCCCTCCCATAGTTTATTTTGATAGAGCCATCACCTGAAACAAATATAGAATAAAACAAAGCCAGAAGCCAATGGAAACTCATTTCTGTATTTAAGAACAGACCCTGCATTACAGACTGTATATGACTATCATCCTCCTCCTATCAATGAAACATGCAGTAACTAATAATAATAATATTAAATAACTCTATGGCCGCTTACTTCTTCTCTCCTTCGAACAGCAGGAAGGACTCAAATGCGGGCGGTGCGTTCATGTTCCCAGTGAGCGGCTTCTTACAGCCCGAGCACCGACTGACTAACCAGGTGTGGGTCGCTCTCTGATGACATCACCAGCGCGACTTCGCGTCACTTCCCGCGCTCATCCCCCCCCCCCATACCCACACTGCCCGATGGAGATGTGGGGGAAATAACACACAGCTCCCTAGCCTAAGCCGGATGGCTGTGGCATATTTTCGTCGCCCGTGTGCAAAGTATAAAAACGGACAAATAAAAAGTGCGTCTGCTCGGTACACTGTGCGATACTGCGCGCAGCGGCCATTCTCAAACATGGCGACAGGAGCGTTTCCGCCTTTTGCGCTGGGCTTGTCACGTGGGCAGTGCGTCACCGTGTCGCGCTCTTGCTGGCCTTCGCCTGATTGGTCGGTAGCGTGCGGTGTCCTAGGGCAGAGTGTGTAGCAGGAGCACTGCTGGAGCGCGGCACTTACAAGACTGCGTCACATGATGTCCAGCCAGGTGGAGGGAGCTGCGGCAGCGGAGGAGCACCCCGGCACACTGCACGAGCCTTCCATGGTAATGGGTCACGGGGAGGGGGACTAACAGCCGGCTCCCAGCAAGGTGCGACATCCAGCGCAGCGCACACCGGGCACACACGAGGGAGGGAGGGAGGAACACGTGATCACCGCGAGCACACCTGTCAGCCTCTCACACAGGGCTACTAACCTGGGACTGACCTCTCCGGGGACTGCACTGCCACCAGAGGGGGTAACACAGCCCTGACATCATCCCTGGGGGGGCAACTGCACTGCCACCAGAGGGGGTAACACAGCCCTGACATCATCCCTGGGGGGCAACTGCACTGCCACCAGAGGGGGTAACACAGCCCTGACATCATCCCTGGGGGGGCAACTGCACTGCCACCAGAGGGGGTAACACAGCCCTGACATCATCCCTGGGGGGGCAACTGCACTGCCACCAGAGGGGGTAACACAGCCCTGACATCATCCCTGGGGGGGCAACTGCACTGCCACCAGAGGGGGTAACACAGCCCTGACATCATCCCTGGGGGGCAACTGCACTGGTGCCATAACAGCTCCTACAAAGGGTATGCTGAGCTCCAGCCCCTTTATAAGAATGGCATGGCTGGCCCTTACTTTGATATATTTTAAGTATCATATCTGTATTTTGGTTTTGCCAGAAGTACTGGATATATATGACTAGTTTCCTGGATTGTTGTGTTTACATTTTCACATACAGTACTTTAATTTAGACTGAAGCAGTTATTATCCAACTTGAATATGGAGCCTCCATTACCTACTGTTTACTCATGTACTATGGTGTGTGCTCAGAGATACATTTCTAAATACAAGGCAACAGCAGTGTGTTTATTCTACTCTAATTCGATCCTCGTTTCGTACACTGTATAGCAGATATACCCACATGGAAAAGATGCACAATTAAATGCATGTTTTTATTTGGAAAATATCTAAAAACAGCATGCAAAGGTGGCAGATCTCTTAATCTGCAGCCTTTGCAACCCCCTTCCTCCCCCAACTTAACCCAGACTTCCCAATGCAACGCATGAAGATGGCTTTCAAAGAGAGATGCTTTTAGTAGTTGCCAGCCTCTTGAGTTTAGCTTCAGTGAGGTAAACAGCCAGGAAGTAGCAGGACCGGCTGACAGCCATTGATCTATACACCCAAACTGTTACCTAGTTACATAGCTGAAAAGAGACTTGCGTCCATCAAGTGCAGCCTTCCTCACATATGTTTTTGCTGCTTCAATAAGCTCAAGTTGTTTTAGGGACTCTGCATAAGGACCTCCGTCGTCACCGGAATCCCCATAGGAAAGCATTGAATAATGCTTTCCTATGGGGAGGACTAATGCACACGTGGCCATAGCCGCGCATGTGCATTAGGTCTCCCCGTTTGCATGGGTGGGGCCTGACCCAGCGTTGACGGACATCTGTGCTGGTTCAGGTAAGTGACTGAAGGGGTTTTTACCCCCTTCAGCAACGCTGGGACGGAAGGACTCCAGGTTTCTGCAGTTCTAGGAAAACAGGTTTGTTATCCTGGCACTAGAGAATCTCTTTAAGCATATTTAGCACTAGCAGTATTTAATTTCTTCCCGGTTGGAATTAATGTAAGACCCACCGATATTGTGGTACTGTGAAGTAATAGTGGGCTTAACACATGGCCATATGGTAACTGAATCCCCATAAATGTTTGCTGAGAGGGGATTTTTAAGTAGCCTTATATAATTTTTTTTTTTTATGTGTGCGCTGTTCCTTAATCCGTACTATGGAAATAATGGTTATATCAGGAATGATTTAGCCATTTCCAGGTTTGGTGACCGCTCACTGCAAACTTTGAGGATTTGTAGTAAAAGCAGGAGTTCTAAATATCATTATCATTTTTAAACTTTAGAGTGTTTTATATATATATATATATATATTTTATATTTTTATAGTAGCTTTGCATAGACAGTCAATAATCTAAAAGCTTATATTGCCACATTTTAAGTGCAACCTATATATCAAGTTTGCTAATATGTACAAAGCATAACCCCTAAAACAGAAATAACCGCACATGTCTATAAAGTCAGGTTAGCAAAGGAAGACCGTCCACTAGAAGTCGTGTGTTATTGTGGAAAGCAGGCTAGGTCAGATAGACATGAAGGTCTAAACTATATCTGTAGGTGCAACAGTGTACTTTTGTTTAATTGAATTTTTCCTATAGTGTTTTATTAACATGTGGGTCAATTTAGCATGGTGTGCCACTTTCCGTATTTTATACGTATATATTAACAAATCAAAGGGGATAAATTGGAGAAATATATACTGTGGGGTTTTTTCTGGGACTTTGGTATGGATATGGAATCAGTGAATAATGTAATGGACAGATTTCATCATCTCCCTAGACCCGAAGGACTACCAGCATCGGCAAACAGACATGATAATTTGTTTTCATCAATTTTGGTTCAAAGAACAACTCCTGTTTAAACACAGAGAAAAAGTAGGAAAAAAATTACAAATACCCATATATCGACCTTCAAATATTCTAGGACTTATCATGGACTGCCAGGAAACACAGAAGAGCCTTTGGCATAGTAACTAACATATTGAGGAATAATCTGATTAAGTACAATTGGGGATATCCAATTAAATTAATAGTAATACAGGATAATGATATAGTAATATTTGATGATCCCCAAAAGGCTTCTTTATGGCTTCAATTGAAATCGTTGCCCTGAGTAGGAAGAGAAGTAATAGGGATAGGGTCTGTTAATACGGTCACTTTTTTTTCTTTTTCTTATGGCAGACCAATTTGTTGTTAATATGGTCTAATAAGGGGCATATGAGATCAGGGTGAAACAACATGTGCTTTGAAGCTGGGATCAAGCTCGTATAAATAGTAAGGTTTAATTAGGGAATATTAATGGATGCACAGAAGTAACATTAATGGGTAATACATTTAAATAGATAACTGAAACACTGGATGAATCACAGTTTTTTTTTCTTGTTTTTTCTCTTTCTCGTCACATTAGAATTAAAACGGAGAATATGGTGTTAAGATATTGCAGTGGAATAAGAGCATAAATATCACAGAATATAAATTGGAGGGCTTATTTTATATAAGTCTATCATTGATACTAGGGGTGGGTCTCAAATAGACCGTGATAAAATATGTCACTGTTATGAGTGAAGCATTTTTATTATAACTGAAATAATAATAATTAATAGCAATTGACATTAGATTATCATGCTGGCATTTAGAGACAGTGAGTTGGTAGCCTAGTGGTGTTGTGCAGTGTAAAGTCGCAAGCTGGGTAAGTTACAAGTTGCTAAGGCAAGGCTGATCTCAATGCTGAGTGTGGTGCACAGGGCGACAGTGATCCCCACCTGGCCTATCCCTACAGTGAGTGTAACAGGCTGAAGAAAAGTACAGTGCTTAAACGCCTCGGCAGTAAAAAATACGGACCAATGCTTAAGGCATAGATATGGTACAGAAGCTTAATGTCCCCCTGGGTGTCCTGATGCTCAAGAAGTTCTTTAGTGTCGCTGTTGTGGCTTGGTGGGGCAAGTTTGCCGACAGTGGCCTGCTGTTGCGAGGTCATGAGGCCCCTAGCATAGTCTCTTTCAGCCGATGCCCCCTTTATGGAAACGGTGTGTTCTCGTCGCTGGGTCTCTGCATCCTGCCGCCTTGCGGGTGTCCAGATGGGCTATGTAGCATGTGGGTAAGTATTCGAAGTGGCGTTGTGCCTGAAGGCACCTCCCTCTCCCCTCGCTCCGCTCGCCCATCGTCTGTAGTGTAGGTAGCTTGTTTAGGGCTGCTTGTTGCCGCTTTATGAGGGCATCCCAGAAGCGGCTCGATATCGCCTCTATGCTCTGCATGGACTCACTCCATGTCCCGCTGACAGCCGCCATTTTAGTGTGCCTAGTAGGGGGTTGCAGCCTTGTGTGTCTGGACCATGCTTGTGCTGCTGGTTCTTTTGGATGTCGAGTGCAGGCTGGAATGCCCTTCGCCGGCCGGGGGGGGGGAGGAAGGCGAGTGCACTGAGGGTCGTGTGTGTGGTGTTACCATCCAGGAGTGCGGCCGTCTCTCCCTGGCTCGGCCGCATGTAGGCCCCGTGTGCTTTGCGTGGGATCCCGAGCATTGTGAGCCTCGCTTATGGGTTCCTTTGATGCCCCCGGATTTCCCCAGCTCCTCTTGTGTCCACTGACTTGTGGGTGAGTTGGTGTTCGGGGTATTTATCCCCAATATCGTCTTTTCTTGCAGGGGCTGATGTACAGCACGTCTATCCTGCTCAGCAGTCAGGCTCCGCCCCGGGTGTTTTGTTAGCTTTCCTGACATTTCGGTTAGGTGCAGATCCTCTTCCCTTCTTGGCGACCCGGCTTTTTTTTTTTAAAATGAGCTTACCGTATATTGTATTTTTTTTTTTTTTACATTGTTTAGTTATATGCTTGAGAACTGGGGTTTAAGGAAACTCACGCATATTATATCCCCCAAAAATGTATACAAAAAGCTTAAAGTTTGATATTAATAAGGGTTTGTTAAAGGTCAAGCATTTTTGTCTTTGTTGAATGTAATTTGTTTGTCTTATTTGTGAAAATAATAAAAAATGAATGATTAAAAAAAATAATTTATACATAAACTATAAATGTATAGTTGTGCTTCTAGGACACGCTGAGCCAAAGTGAGTGCAGAAATACTTGTGTAACTCTACTGCACAGTTGTAGTTTTTATATCTGCTAGCTGAGAGATATAAAATGAAAAGTACAATTTAACCTGTAAGCTTATATAAGTGGTTATGGTTGTAGGTTACCATCTCTGCAGTCTTTTGTTTTGTCAGTTTGACAAATAATTAAACTGGGCTTTAAAGTGAACCTCTGAGCTCCACTTAGAAGAATGGCCAATTAAAGAGCTGGGAATAACACTGCCTAGATCTTGTCTACATAACTTACTGGCCTAGTGGGATTTAAAGTCCCTGGTGAGTCAGTGCTTTCTTGGGTGGACTTGTCAGCACTCCGTTCCAGGGAGCAGCGTACTGTGTGAGTGAACTGTCACTCTCTGTTTATTGGTACTGTGTACGTATGATCATCACCAATTCTCATAGAGACTGGTCACTTTTAGAACGTGCAAGAGAGAACAGATACGTTGGATAAGTGTTAGGGACTTTTTACCTGTTATGAGTAGCAAATCTGTACTTGCCAAACAGGGGTATGCATGAGAGGTGTGTCTTACAGCAAGTGTAACACTCACTGAAATGTAAATGATGCTCCCATCAGGAGACATGGGTAATGAAAATAAAGTATGAGCTTTTAACGGTATTTAGGGAAGAAACACTTAATTGTATAGCTTTGGTCAAGCTTAATGGTTAGAACACTGCCGGGCTATATCTGTCATATCATGTTCACTTTAAAATATTGTTTATGCATTGGTGGTGTTTTTATTATTTGTTTTTTTTTTTTTATTTGGATTTTACAGTGCAGAAATGTACTTGACACAGGTGATTATAGGGATTTGTTTTTTTACAGTGCATTCACATCTTATTAGACAGGCTGGTAATGTTGTGAGACACGCAGAGAAGACAAATTCACATGGTTTAGGTATTATGTTGTAGTATTGTTCTCATAACTGAATGGAAATATATTTTTTTTGTGTGTTTGTGTTCGTTATTTTTGCACGATTATTCAATTCATGGCATCCATGCATTTTAAAGGTGCACTATAGGGTCAGGAACAATACAACTTTCATATAATACTTTGTGGGGGGGAGGGGGTTTCTCCCACCTGTTCCTTCTTCTCACCTTTCATTGTGATGAATTTATTTATATATATATATATATATATATATATATATATCTTTTTCTGAGGGAGTATAACTTTTGAAAGTGAAAAGTTGCTATGCCTGATTTGGCCATTTTTGTTACAATAAGGAATATTTACTAAAGTGAGAATTCAGATTGAATTCAAAGTGAATTTCAAATTTAAGGCCACAGTATTCAAAAGGAAAGCAGTTCAGCTTTTTGTTACCTTAAATTCAAAATTTGTTTTGCATTCTCACTTGGTAAAAAAAGTCTGATATTGTGTTTTGGTGTATTTATACCTTATTCTTTTATTTAATCTAGCTACAAAGCTTATTATTATTATTATTATTATTAGGGCCGATTTCCGCAAATAACATGATCCCACAAGATATATATTATAATCCCATGCACTGAACTTTGTGAAATTAAATACAAAGCAGGGTTAATCACTTAAACATTTAGAAAATTTAAAGCCAATTGGTAAAACAGAGGTTAAAGCAGCCAATTGTGGAATTTTTCCAGATCAGCTACTTTAGCCTTGATTGCGATGTTCTTACTTAAAGTGGCTATGTAACTGTCTGGGGACTTTGACAAATTCGCAAAGTACACCGACTGATATCGCTGCTGGTGGTCCAGTGGATGCAGGATCGGGGGGGGAGGGGGGTGGAGGCAGTGAAAGATGAGATTACTTACCTGAACCGGTCCCTTGCGTGCACCGATTTACTTAAACCGCATCAGCCGACATCATTGCTGTTCTCAATCACATGAACAGCCAATTCCTTGCAGTCTTCAATGGTGATGGCTGTCGGGATTGATTCTTAGACTCCGCCTTGAGTCTAAGAAAGGCAGGCGATTGGGGGGGGAGACAAAACAGTCTCTGTATGTCTCTTGAATTGGGTTGTCATTTCAGTGAAATTCCAACACCGTCAATCTAAGTATATCATTAATATTCTATCTTTATGAAATACACATTTCAGGAGGGGTTGTGGGAGGTGTGGCAGTGTCTCTTTAATTCACTAAATTGTAGTGATGTGTCAATATAATTGCAAAATAAACACAAAATTCTCTCCGACGTGGCTGCCAACATAAAATGTGCCAGTTGGTATTTGCCAGTTTTGTGTAGTAAATAAATCCCTGATCCTAAAATATGACTGTTCTGGTTTATATATCTTTTCCTTTGTTATTGAATATTTTTTGTTTGTGTGGTTTTGTTTTGTTTTTTTGTCTTGTACTCTGTTCACTTGCCAACCTGTCCAAATTTTCATCAAACCCAAATTCCTTTCTCTATTTCATCTTTCTCTTTCCTATCCCTCCTACTTTATTTATTATTTTTTTTTTCTGGCATAAGGTGGCAATACCTGTGGGTTGTGCCTCCTTAATTGGGACAAGCATCTAGAAGATATAAGTTAATTAAGAGTCTCTCCCCTTTATTCCATAAAGGGTTTACCCCGGCAACCCCACCTCAGTTCTTCCTTGTCCCAGTACGGGACGGATCGTCTACTTGAGGTGAGACACACAGGTTGATGTCTGGGGGAGGAAGCCCGATAGCCGCCCAGGCGGTTGGCTGAGCTGCATGGCTCTGCCCATGGAGGTCCCAGAGCCCTTTCAGGTATTGTTTGTTCCGGCTTTGTGATTATGAGCAGGTCAGGGGACGCCTTTATGATGCTACAGGCCATGCGCCTGCGCACCGCGGTGGAACACACGCCTGGGTGATGTTGCGTTCCACCGAAGTTCCGGGTACTCCACTGCATGCGTGAACCGGAAAATGGCGTCGGATTTTAATCCATGGGCGTATAAATTCTGTGCTGTTTCCCTCTGGATGCTGGTCAGAAAGGATTCTCCTTGTCACCAGCTCCCGACACGGCTCAGAGGTTTTTGAAGTAAGATTAAATAATCTTTACTCTAAAAATCTTTGCTTTCTGTAAAAGTAGCAGCTTTAAAGAATCCTATGGACAAGAGGGCCGAGACCTCCTGCAGGCGTGGTTTCCAATGTAAAGCTTTGCTGGCAGAGGGTAGCAGTATCCAGAGCTAGTAACTTGTGGTTGCAATCACAAGAGGAGATGATGTTGGAATCTCCAGACAAGCAACTGGTTAGGTTGCTACAAAATTTGAAATTGTCGAATACCTTTATAATGGATATGAGGAATGAAGTGCTCAAGTTGGCTTCCAGAAACATGGGCTTATCTTCAGTTGCCCATAGAGCCTGGACGCCGGATACAACTTCAAAATAACTCCTCTGTGAACTCCCACTGGAAAAATAAAAGCTGTTCGGGTCTCCTTTAGAAGAGATCATTAACCCCTTAAGGATGTATGACATGTAATGATTCCCTTTTATTCCAGAAGTTCGGTCCTTGACGAGTTAAACAGATGTCTGAGGCGGAAAAAAAACCCTTCCTCAAGACAAGAAATTTTCTTGGAAGCCTGGTTATAAAAATAGAAGAACCTACCTGGATAGGCCTCATTATTTTCAAAAAAAAGAAATCTGAGGTTTGAGGAGAAAAAAGGGGATAGATCTGACTAGGGTAGACGTTTCTGACGCTAAGAGAGTAGGAGGCAGAATCCAGCGTTTCTTCAAAATATGGGAAGAAACTACAAGCAATCCATGGATTCCAAATCTGGTGAAAAGAGGTTACCAATGGCACTTTCCAAACCTGCCCAAACCAAAATTCCTCATTTCCCTTTATCCATCCTTCCCTGAAAACCAGGAGCTCTGTTTGCAGAAACTGTTCTGCTATTGAAAAAAAAAAGGTCATAGAAAAGGTTACGGTGACCCAGGAATTCCAAGGGGTCTTCTCAAGACTCTTCCTAATCTCGAAATCAGAACATTCCTTTCGGGCCAATTCTAGATTTAAAAAAATAAAATGTGAACAAGTTTCTTCCTTACCAAAGGTTCAGAATGGAAATGATTACTTCCGTAACTCAGATTCTTAGGAAAGGGGATTTTATGGTGAAGCTGGATCTAAGGGATGCTTGCCTTCATATCCCTATGGCAGTAACCTCAAAAAGATTCCTGAGGTTCGCCATAAAAAGGGGAAAAGAGATTTTACATTTTCAGTTCAAAGCCCTCCCCTTCGGGTTGGCATCAGCCCCAAGAATATTTACAAAAGTTCTTACGCCCATAACCTCTTTTCTAAGGGAGTGGGGCGTCAAGCTCATTCACTACTTGGACAATTGGCTGCTTATAGCAAATTCCAGAAGTTTGTTGTTGGAAAAGGTTCGGTTCACAATCAGTGCTTTAGGAACACTGATGGATACTGAGCTTCAAGAAGTTGATTCTACTTCCTTCAAAAAAAATAGAATTACTGGGATTCGAGATGCTGAAGAACGTTATCTCTACATCTGACTACAGACAAAAGAAAGACCATCTGGAAAAAAGTGTCCAATTTACAGAAGAGATTATTATTCTATAAAACAGGCAATGAGTGTTCTGGAATATCTAACCTCACCAATTCCCGCAGTCAAATGGGCAAAATCAGAAATAAGGCCTCTTCAGTGAGGAAGACTTAGATTTGTATCTCCAGATATCTCCCCAGGTAAAAGCTTGGTTAAACTGGTGGAAAACTTCAAGTTTTATTTCGGCAGGTTTGACCTTCAGACCGAAAGAATGGGTGGTCGTCACCACAGATGCGTCAAACTCAGGCTGGGGCGCTCATCTAAATTTGTTAATGTGCCAAGGTACTTGGTCCACAGAAGACAAAATAAGGTCAACAAATTACAGAGAAATGAAGGCAGCTCTTCGCAGATTCAGATCTTGGATAGAAAAGAGGCCTATAAGAATACCGTCAGACAACAACACAGTGGTCTCTTACATCAACAGGCAAGGTGGCACCAGAGTGGAAAGTCTTTTTCGGTTATGCGCCGACATTGTGCTGGACTCGGGTTCACTTAGAAGACATCTCTGCGTTCCACATAAAGGGCATTGACAATGTCATAGCCGACGATCTCAGCAGAGGGAAATGGGATCAGAAAGAGTGGTCTCTAAACCCAAGGATATTCGACATTCTAATAAAGAGATTCGGAATGCCCGTCGTAGACCTTATGGTAAGAAGAGAGAACACCAAGGTTCCCAAATTTGCCTCCCTGTTCAGGACAGATCCGCCTCAATGGTCTATCTCTCCAATGGGATTTCTCCCTAGCATACAACTTTCCTCCAATACAGCTGATCCCAAGAATTCTTCAAAAGATAACAGACAGGGCAGTGGTTCTAGCAATCATTCCGTACTGGCCAAACAGGAGCTTGTTTTTGGACTTGAAGGAAATGGCTTCCACGTACTGGGAGCTTCCAATCTCTCTATATCTGATAGAAAACAGAGTTAACTCTGGAAATTCTACAGATATTCAGATTGACGGCATGGCTGTTGCCACCCTAATCCTTTGTCATCAGGGTCTTCAGGAAGACAGGGTCCAATTAATTCTTCAATCTATCAGATATTCCACCTCAAAGTTGTTCATGAGAATTTGGGCAAAATTTCTACATTGGTGTAAGGAACATCAATGTCTTCAGGTACATCCTTTGGTTGATTCTATTTTACACTGCCTTCTGGATGGGCTTCACAAAGGTCTGGGTTTTTCCACTTTGAAGGTCCAACTATCTGCCTTGGTTTTTTTTTTTCTTTCTAGTTAAGGATTTGGCGTTGCCTGTTCTAATTAGGAGATTCTTCAAAGCAGTAAGGCTTATTAGACCACCCAGGAAGTCATACTTTCTTCAGTCCTGCAAGTGCTCTCTGTGAACCTCCTTTTAAACCTTTGGAGAAGGTCCCATTGAGGAATCTAACAATCAAGACGGTCTTCTTGGTGGCCATCACCTCTGCTGAAGTAGGTGAACTTCAGGTTCTTTCTTCATCGGACAAATTCATTTTATTACATCAAGATAAGGTAGTGCTCCATCCTAAGCCTTCATTCCTTTCGAGGGTTATCGCTTCTAGAGCTGTTAATCAGCCCATCGTTTTACCATCCTTCTGCAATAATGTCACCTTGCCGCAGGAACTAAAATGGCATATATTGGATGTTAGAACTTTACAGATCTACCTTTCAAGAACTGCCGATTTATTGAAATTCTGATCACCTGTTTGTCAGTTTCCAAGGGAAATTTAAAGGGGGAAGAGCCTCCCGTAATTCTATCTCTCATTGGTTGATTGATACAATCAAGATGGCATATGCTTCCTGTAACATTCCTATACCTACTTCTCTTAAAGCGCATTCCACAAGAGAAATGTCTACATCATGGGAAGAAAAGGCTCTTGCTTCGCCCGAAGAAATTTGCAAGGCAGCTTCTTGGTCATCATTCAACACCTTAATCAGGCATTACATGTTAGATGTATTCTCATCCTCTAAAGCTGCATTTGGGCATAAGGTGCTTCAAGCTGTTGTGGCGTAATGCCCACCTAATGGGAATTTTGCTATATCTCACAGGTACAGCCACCATATGCTAGAAAAAAAACTGAAATTTTTACTTCCAGTAAATTATTTTTTTCTTAATATGGTGGCAGTACAATAGTCCCTCACTCTGAATAAAAAATGTACTTGTTGTATTTGACTTGTGTGGTGTGTTTTCTTGCTACGACTGAGGTGGGTTTGCCAGGGGAAGCCCTTTTATAGGATAAAATGGAGGGACTCTTAATTAACTTCTGTCTTGTAGATGCTTGTCCCAATTAAGGAGGCACAACCCACAGGTACTGCCATCATATTAAGAAAAAATTATTTACGGTAAATCAAAAAATTCTGTTTTTCCTTGCACAGGATTATTGTTATTTCCCAGTGGTGTTTCTCTATGCATTTCCTTCCCCCATTAAAGGACCACTATAGGCACCCAGACCACTTCAGCTCAATGAAGTTGTCTGGGTGCCAGGTCCCTCTCTGTGTTAACCCTGCAGCTGAAAACCTAGCAGTTTCAGAGAAATTATGTTTCACTGAGCGTTAATCCAGCCTCACGTGGCTGTCTCACTGACAGCCGCTAGAGGCGCTTCCACGCTTCTCACTGTGAAAATCACAGTAAGAAGACGCTGGGCGTCCATAGGAAAGCATTGAGTAATGCTTTCCTGTGGGTAGTTTGAATGCGCGTGCGGCTCTTGCTGCGCATGCGCATTCGGCGCCGACATCGGCAGAAGGAGGAGAATTCCCCAGCGCCAAGGGAGCCAGGTGCTGGAGAAAGGCAAGTGGCTGAAGGGGTTTTAACCCCGTCAGCCCAGCGGTTGTAGGACCCTGAGGGTGGGGGGGACCTAAAGACCCTATAGTTCTAGGAAAACTATAGTGGTTCTTTAAGTAATTCAGGTACCTGTCTGTGTCCCCTAGGGTCTAAATTTCCATTTTGTCTCAAAAGCCACTCTCACTTATGTTTGAAATTTTTTTTAAAACGATCTGGAAAAGGGTAAATTAAAAGCTTTTTTATTAAACTTTATTGAAAAAAATGGGTAGAGGTGGAATCTTTGTAACTAAGGATAGGTACACTAAAGCATTAGAAATACTGTACAGCTATTTGCCTCGCTTAGAAAATAACTCATCCCCATTGATCCTATGGAAAGAGTGGGCAGTTTAAGCATTGTTTAGATATCTGTTTCTGTGCTGTGTTTTCTGTGAGGCCCTCCAGGACACCTGCATTCTGAGGTTATACACAGCACTAGAGATCAGTTTTCAGATCTCACACTCCTTTTACAGTCACCGGAAAGTAAAATACAGTTGTCCTCATTTTCCCAGCTGCTTTGTCACAGTGATCTCTGATCCTCCAGACTTGCTCATAACACTTACTGCATGGTCAACTATTCAGCTGCTGGGAACTAAGCATATGCCTAGCAGGCCACCTAGAAGTTGTTATGGCTTTACTACAATCCTTCCAAAGTGTAGGCAGCAATCACCTTAAAGGGTTACTCTAAGCACCGTGACCACTGATCTGTGTGTGCAGAATTTCACTATAACATGCTGCACTTGTGGTGCTACGTCATTATCCAGTTCTAGGCTAGCTAATGTTAATCCTATGCAAATCTGGCATCTGCCATCCTTACCATGAGTGGAAGAGAGAGACCAGTCATTGTGCTGTTTTTTTTTAAATTTATTTTTTGTTTTTTTATGGCCTGTGATCTATGTAGACCAATTTATAAATTAATGCAGAAGTCAGTTTATTCCAGATGATATATTATACTATATAGGCTCCCATTTGTATTTAATACATTCCCTGACATCCAATCAGAGCTGTGCACTTCCATTTTATATACTAGAAGATCACAGCAATATTCATAGGTCCAAGCTGAATTGGCGAACTGCTTTAAGTACTGGAGTCTGGACAGATCTGCTGCATAGTGTGCAAAGGCTTATCAGAAAGCCAGACACACACTGTCTGTGTCTTTTAGTCACTGAATCTCCTATCTGTGCGCTACAGGAGCAAAGGTTTCAGTGAGCTAGAACACACCTCTACCCACATGAACAAAGAATTAACCTGACTTATGTATGTGAGCATGAGCAATAACTTCAGAACTATTTCTACAAAAGCCTATTCAGAAGTAGCAGCTGGTATTAAAGTTGACCAATTATGCCAATATTAATTAACAGTTTATATCTGCATCTATAAGTGCTAGGGAACACTTCCAGCTCTGAAATAAATAGACTTTACAGAATGGACAGCATTTTTAGCTTAAAGGACCACTATAGTGCCAGGAAAACATACTCCTGCCGGGCTGGATGGTGGATGGAGAGGAAGGGGTTAAACTTACCTCTTTCTCCAGCGCCGGGCGGGGAGCTCTCCTCCTCTTTGGCTGAATACACATGCGCGGCAGGAGCCGAACGCGCATTCATCCAGTCCATAGGAAAGCATTATCAATACTTTCCTATGGACGCTGGCGTCTTCTCACTGTGAAAATCACAGTGAGAAGCATGCAAGCGCCTCTAGGGGCTGTCAACAAGACAGCCACTAGAGGCTGGATTAACCCATATATAAATATAGCAGTTTCCCTGAAACTGCTATGTTTATAGAAAAAAGGGTTAATCCTAGCTGGACCTGGAACACAGACCACTTCATTAAGCTGAAATGGTCTGGGTGCCTGTAGTGGTCCTTTAAGCAGTTTTGGTGTACAGACCATGCCCCTGAAGTCTCACTGCTCAATTATCTGCCATTTAGGAGTTTAGTTCTGTTCACTTCAGTTCTGCTGATGCAGCCCCAGCCACACCTTCCCTGGCTGTGACTGACACAGACTACATAAAAAACTAAATTGTTTCATTCTCAATCAGGTGTAACTTACTTTGAACGTTTTTATGTCCTGCTCTGTAAAATTAACTCTCATTACGTACATTTGCAATAAAGAAAGTGTAAAAATTAGATGACTCTTTATATATGAAGTTTTTAGGAGGGCTGTGTAAGTCACAGGCAGGGAGGTGTGACTAGGGTGCATAAAAAAGTGATTTAACACCTAAATATTAGAGAGATGAGCAGTGAGACTGCAGGGATATATGGGTTGTACACAAAAACTGCTTCATTGAGCTAAAGTTGTTTTGGTGACTGTAGTGTCCCTTTAAGAGTGTCTTTTGTATGGCTATTGTTCAATGGTTATAAAAAGCATCTTTAATTTCTTAAGCGTAAAAGATTCTTGTAAAATTTCTTCTTTTCGATTTGTGTTGTTGCAGCTAGTTTTAATGTAACTAGTAGCTTTGAAGAGGGCGCTATCTTGCTGATCCATGGGGGAATTTGTTCAAGGGGAATATCGTGCAGAGCCAACACAAAAGGAGCAATATCTGCACCCATTGTCTGTTTACCTATTACATGCTGTTCCTAGCGTAAATATTGAGGGGTTTTTAGGTGTATTTCTTTTTTTTTTTGTGAAATACATGTGTTTACATTGAATTGATCTTTTATTCCAATGAACACGAACAGGGTTTTTTAATAAAATTACAATTGTCTGAAATTCAAAGTGAATTAAAAATTTAAGACAAAAATGGTAAAACATGCAAACTTGTCTGTTTATACTTTCTGTTTGGCTGTTTTGGTGTTAATTTTGAAATTCACTTTCCAAAATTCCAAATTGGCCAAGTTAAAAGGGGGAGGAGAAACACTGGAGATTTTTTTTTTTTTTAATTTATTTATTTTTAACTATTTGACTGTTATGGTCTAATATTTGCATTTCCCATGTCAATTCTGTACAATTTACAATTTAGTGAATACACCCCACAGTTTGCTTGCACTCTAGATATGCAACTTGATTCTAATACTTTGATGCTTGTCTATCGTTTAGAGGACATAACAAATGTATAGGGTCAGCTTTCAAACGAGCCCTGCAGATATCTCCACGTAAAGTGGCTTAACAGAACAGGACAGGGTGTATAACTAAATACTTTTTAGTAGTGTTTTATACCCCACCCGCTATAGACCGTAAGTTTGTTTGAGCAGGGTCCTCTTCAACCTATTGTTCCTGAAGTTTTCTTGTAATTGTCCTATTTATAGTTAAACCCTCTCTCATAATATTGTAAAGTACTATGGAATCTGTTGGCGCTATATAAATGGCAATAATAATAGTGATGGACTTATTGTTTACTGTGTGCAACCTGGATGGCATACTTGTGGTCTTGTGTTATCAATGGATCCACACGACAATGAAGTTCAGCAGAGGGAAAAAATTATACATAGGCAAACTAAATGAAAGCCAGTGACTGGATATGTACAGCTCTGCTGCATACTCATATGGAAGAATTGCGACAATTTAGCTGTATCCATGTTATAATTACGTACAAAATTGGGTGGTAAACTCTTCTTGGAATGTCTCTTTTAAGCCTCTGCCTACATTACCTAGGAACGGCACCAGGAACTTGCTTCATATATAATTGTAATAATCTCTAAAGTGTGCCTTTTAAGCAATCTCCGTTGCATTCTATGTTGCAATCCATATGACTTGGTTATTTTATTTTTTTTTGTTTCTATTCAGCATGCTGTTTGTTTTGACATTTTGAAACGTGTGACTGTACCATATAATTTTATGAGCGTAAGAACTGTTGTGTTAGCACTCAGAAGAATGACAGAACTAACATTTGTTTTGACTCATTATGTATTTTGGGTATTAAGCAGCTCTTTAGCCTGTTATTCTGGTTATTCCTTAGAATTAATTTGTAAAAAACATGGATACTGCATCTCATGTGGCAGCATAATGTCAATGTGATTGGCTGAATAGATCCAGCCAGTACGAGTGTAAAAACACCAACAATACATTTTCCATCAACTCAATTTTTACTTCTTACCCCTAGCACATCTGGTGAATACCCAAATCGAGATTCCATTCTTTTTATTTTAATAATAGTCCAGAAAGCCTCAGTCACACTCATTTATACTCTAGTTATGATTGCCAACTTGTAGAGGAATGCATTTCTCTGCAATAAGCTACAGGTCACTGAAATATTGCCTGTTGTTTCTTCATTATTTTAGACCACTTGTGGAATATTGCAAGATAAAAGGATACCATATAATGTCTAATGTCACAAATGGTAAACTGGAAAAAAAATCTCTAAGCCAGCCATGATTTAAACTTTTCTACCTAAATTTTGAAATTCACTTTGAATTCTCACTTTAATAATTGGCCCTGAATCCTGTGAAGAGTTTAGCAGTCCTTTTCATTGAAGTTTGACATGCAAACTCAGTTCCCCATTGCATTTTTTTACAGCGGAATCACATTAATTGTCAATTTTAGGGTTAGTCCAACCACCATGACCACTTTAGTGATTTGAAGTCATTGTGGTAGGAGCATGTATGTGCAGTGTTTCTGCTTCACACATTGCGCACATTGAGTAATTTGCAATTATGTGCTAGTTGCTGCTTTGCAGCATTTTATTGTGGGGATCTTGTAGTAAGGACCAATACGGCATTTTAACCTAAAACAATATTTGTTGAATAAGGGTTACAGTAATCTTTTAAACTGGCATGACACATTTGCAACTGCATATTTAACTGTAATTAAGTAGCGTTAATATTTACACTCCTTTTCCATTTTATCCTGAGCAAAGAGCCTCCTTGTTTTGTCATGAAGTTTGCAGGTATCCCCTGCCTTCCAGTGACTCACTGAAACATAAAAATAGGATGATTTGACATTTGTGTGCAGTTGGAGTACTGTGACTAGGCTCCTTCTACTGAATTGGTTGTAAGTCACAATTGCAGGCAGCCATTGCTGTCAAATGGAAGTCACCATATTATAAATGAAAAATTGACACTCCTCAGTTACCAACAAAGTGTAGCTTTTGATGTATTGATGTTTATTATTCCTTAAATTAATCATTAACAAAAAATAAATAAAAATAAACTGATATTCTGTTTAGGCTCCTAATGCAAGCACATTAGACTTGAAATAAAACACTGGCTAAGAGGATGAAGAGCAGATTGTCTGCTTTAATTTGAGGTTATTTAGATAAACTGCCTACAAGTTACACAAGGATTTTGTGACTTTAAAATTTTATTTTCTGCAGACATATCTAGAAGTATGGTAAAGCACTGTTGTTTGAGCTGACACAGGGTAAAGACAGATCTATGAGTCTGGCCTGGAAGTGGTTACTGTAATAGCTGCTGAATATCAGTCCATGACAAACAGATGAAGATGTATGGTATATGAGTAAAATCTGTAGAACTAATGGTTAAACCATTTTAGTCCTGGTTTAGTACACTGTTTATATAACCCAGTGACAAACAGATTAGTAGGATTAATAATCAGATGCTCTCTTGGGTCATGTCTGGTGATCAGACCAGGTGACTACCACGAACTGCGACATGTGGTGTCTAGGCAGGGACACTAGCTGATAAGACCACTACCACATGTTGTTTGTAAATAGTTGGTAAGGATGCGTACACAGGAGAATACGATCCTTCAAGTAACTACGTAGGATTACTTATTCAAAAACCATTGAAAATTATAGGCAAACTGTCTACTGGGCCAGGAGAATTTGGCAAGATAAAACAATGAGTTTAATGAACCTTCCCGGCATCGCTACTACCTATGCTCATTGCATAATTATGATGTGGGCAACTGTTCTTTCTCTACTCCATTATCTTTCTTTTCCTATCATTTGCTCTATGCATAGCCATTTCTAATGCGGTCTCCCTAATCCTTTGTCTGTCTTCTTAAACTAAACCTCGGGTAGGCAGTTCAGCTCTGTCTGCTCAATTTATCCATCTCTTTTATTGACAATTTCCCTGTGCTTTCCTACGCTCTATTTAATACATCTGGTAATTTTCACGATTACCTATATCCTTATGCATTGTAAGGTGGGCTGGGGTTGTAACCAGTGGTAGAACTAGAAAATTCTAGGTGACTTAATCACATGTGATTGAAAATATAAAGCCACCAACTTTTTATTACCTTTTTTTTTATTATTATTATTGCAATGGACCTCTTTTGTACATTGTTAAATAGGGAAACTAGGATAGAATAGATGGTCAGAGGGATTATAAGGTTAATGTGAACCATTCTCCATGTAAAGAGATGTGACTATGAAAAGTTTCATGTAAAGTAATCTTTTTATTTTTTCTTCTAGATTGAGATGGAAGGGACTAGCATAAAAAGGATCAACAATGATTCAGACCTTTCACTGATTAGCCCACTTCCTGAGTCTATTGTGAATGGTGAAAAATTGGCCACACCTGTGTGTCTGCATGAAGATGGGCAGGGCGCAATTATAGAATCTCCTATAGTTTCGAGCTTTATGCCAAAAGAATCCCGGGAGGAGACCCCTGGAAGGGAGGAGATCAGGCTGGACCCACCTGATGGACAACAGGACCTGGGAACTGAGAGGACCTCAGATAAAACCTTAGGTATGACCTGTTTGGAACAGCCTAGAGGTGTACTACAATATGCACTTTTGTTCTGTAGTTCCAATTTTGGCCCATTGTATTTCATAAGTGGTTAGCCTTATATTGAGTTAAAATAAATATGTTGCTGTTTTTTTGTTTTGTGTGTTTTTTTTTGTTTGTTTTTTAATAAGGGGACAAAAAAATACTATTTGTTTAGTAAATTACTTTTCATTTGTTAAATTAGCTCATTATCCCATTCTTCACACTTAAAACACTTAAAGGGACTCTAAATAGTCACCAGAACAACTACAGCATATCGGATTTGTTCTGGTGAGTATAATCATTCTCTTCTGGCTTTATGCAGTAAACACTGTCTTTTCAGAGAAAATGCAGTGTCTACATTACAGCCTAGGGATACATCCACTGGCCACTCCTCATATGGCTACTAGAGGTGCTTCCACTGATATTCAGTGTCTACTCCCTCTGCATGGAGACACTGATCTTTCCTCATAAAGATGCATTTATTCAACACATCTCTGAGGCGATGCTAATTGGCCAGAGCTGTGTTTGACTCTGCCCTGATCTGCCTCTTTGACAGTCTCCTGTGGGAAAGCATTGTGATTGGCTCATAACAACATGTCTGATGATGTCAGCCAAGCAGGCAGATCAGGGGCAGAGCGAACAGCAGCCTTGAAGTAAGATTTTGCCAGATAGTGGTTTTAAAACTATAGGGTCCGGAATACATGTTTGTGTTCCTTACCCTATAGTGTTCCTTTAAGAGGTCTGATGAATATGATATATACTCCAACCATTGGACCCCATGAAATTGCATAAGGACTCAATATAAAAAAAAAATTATATATATATATATATATATATATATATATAATATTGTGATTTGATATTCTAGTGCTTCTGTTTGACACCAGCACTGCAGTAATCACTTAATGAGTAATAAAACAGTTGACCTAATTCATTAAAACTGGAAATATTTAACAAAATCTAGAATTTCAAGATCTATGTTTTAATAATGGATTTGATTCACTTTCAGAATGTGTTTCTGTAATAACCGCTACTTTGCTATTGCCCTCACAGGTAAAGAAGTTTTGCTTTTGATGCAAGCTCTGAATACATTGCGTACCCCTGAAGAGAAACTAGCAGCGCTTTGCAAGAAATATGCTGATCTTGTAGGTTTCATTTTGTAAATATTTTGGAGCACAAATAATAAAATGTATTAATTTTGCTTTTTGGTACTTTATAGTCTTTCTGATGGGAAAATAATATAAAACAGTCCCTAGCTCCAACACCTTTACCTGTAAAACAAGCTCCCAATGTATATACATCCATGTGCACTCTGGGAGACATTTTCTCAGGCAGCTGATTCATTCAGTGACGCATTGAGAGTAGGGGAACAGGGATCAATAAACCAACAGCAGATAATAAAATTATCAAGTAGTGTAACTTTTTTTTTTTCTCATTATTCCTATTCGTATGTAACCAGAGTAATAGTAGATCACATACAACTTGCTATAAATTGCTGATGTAAGATAAACAATGAGTTTTATATTAAAAGACCACTCCGAGCCAATGACAACTTCTCAAGAAAGTTGTTATGGAGTCAAGCAGTCCTGGGCACTGTCTTACCGCTTGGGGTTGCACAGTTTAAAAATTACTCAAACTTGTCTGCAGGGCACCTATCTGCTCTGCCTTTCTGTCTCCCCCGGCCTTAAGTAATGCTAAGGTTGAGGGAGGAATCAAAGCAGCTAAGCAGATGGAGTGTCATACCCGACTCACTCCTACACTTTTGCCTCTGCCTGGGAATGCTCTACCAATCTGGGCAATGGTACCCCATCCCACCAAGTGTGAGATGAACTCCCTAGAGATCAACTACAGCTTACACTTGCACTAGAATTTGTGTAATCTAAGACAATATAGTCTTCTACAGAATTTCATTTCTAGAAGCGTTTCTAATGTTCTAGTCATTGGGTTTAATTAATTGGTACATGTCATTTTTTTAACAGTTGGAAGAGAGCAGGAGCTTCCAAAAGCAGATGAAGGTTTTGCAGAAGAAGCAAGCTCAAGTGGTGAAAGAAAAAGTTCACTTACAGGGTGAGCACAGCAAAGCTATCCTGGCACGAAGCAAGTTGGAGTCGCTTTGTCGTGAACTGCAGAGACACAATAAAACATTAAAGGTTAGTACAACTTTGGTACAAAAAACAAAGTTCTAGCTGGGTACACACATGAAGTAGACAAAAATCATTCTATGGTCCTTTCCAGTACAAAATGTGTGGTTTAAGTATAAAGCTTAAATCACATCTCACATCTGTGTACATTTTGTACATAACCAACACTGCTAACATGTGATTGAATAAAGGTGAATTACACATGATGTTTGTTCTAAAATGTAAACTATCAAAATAAATGTAATTTGGCTATATTAAAAGTTTGTTTGAGAAATGTAAACTGCTTAATGTAACACTCTAACACTGTAAATACATGTATGTATTTACAATGTTAGTGTTACTGATGGTATTTGATTATAGGGCCCCTTCCTGAAATAAAAAAAAAACTTGCATCTATTAGCGTTCCAGTCTTACTGTTGCTGCTGCTCCACCTTGTTCTGAGACCACCTCTCAGGCCAATCCAGTGCTTCTCCGTAGAGAAGCTTTGAGGGCCCTGATGTGCATGTGTGGCAATTGTACTGCTGCATTGTGTTTTCCTCCTAGAAAGTCCTTAAAATGCTCTCCTCTAGGAGGTAGATTTAACTGCATCATGGCAACACAGAACATGAACACCGTATATAAATTAAGACTTTCTAGGAGGAAGTTCCTCTAATGGCTGTGTGATTGACTGCCGTTAGAAACATACTGACTGACTAACGCAAACATTGCTGTTTCTCAGAAAGGACAGCATCTAGGCACTTTCCTGTTCACTACAGCGGCCCGGAGGAAGGAAGATATCAGGTAGAGATGCTGGGGGACCAACTTCTGGGTTAAACCATTGGAAAGCGGTTTAACTACTGAAGGTAAGATGGCGCCCAGCACTCCTACCTCCACAACAACTTAATTTTACTGAAGTGGGAAAGGGTCAGTTACAAATTAAAGTGTACAGCAATACACCTTGCACCAAAGCAAGTGATAATGATTGCCCTTTAACATCGGTACTAAAACTGTATAAAAGGATGGTGACTAAAAAAATAAACAATTTGCCACTCTTTATTCATGCCCAATAGACCTTTAGTGGTTGACACGGGATAAAAGTTTCCTGCAACAAAAAAATAGTAAGACTGTTCCCATTTTGATTAGGATGGAAATCACGTTCTATAGTGTGTTGGAAATTTCCAGAATCTAGATTTTGTGCCCCAGAAATATATTTAACAGGTAATGTGGTATTAGAAATTCAGCAGTTTTACAGGTTGCAAATCTACAGCTATGCTTAAAGGAACTCTCTGGACAGCATAAATACCTTATAGGGTATATTTCACAAACTGGTTTTAGAAAAATATGTACGTTTCTTAAGCCGTTTTATGAATGGGAAGCTACTGATTGGCTTAAACCGTGAGCTGAATCTCTCCACCGGTCAACGGTGCCTGTGTTTGAGACTTCCACTTTCAAGAATCTGAGCCGCAGAAGAACAGGGTGCAGAACGATTGAGCACTGGATACTGGGCTTTGGGGTTAAACCGTTTTCACTCCAATGAATTGTTATGGTGCCAATTTTGGGTCTGTCTAAAATGTGGGTAGACAGGAATTTGCAATATTATAAATTTGGGAGTACTGTTTATTATAGGTAGTGGGAAAAGTTTCAAGGTATGAGCAAGAGCTCACAAAATAGAGACCTATATACCTCAAGGGCAAAGTACACTGGGAACCAAAAGCAACTTTTATCTGACTATATTTTGGACAATCGTAGTTTAAGGGACACTATAGTCACCAGAACAACTTTAGCTTAATGGCACGGTTTTGCTTTATAGTTCATGCAGCTGCAGTCACACTGCTCAATTCGTGGCCATTTAGGAGTTAAATCACTTTGTTTCAACAACCCTAGACACCCTTCCTTGCATGTGACTTGCACAGCCTTCCTAAACACTTCATGTAAAGCGTCAGCTAATGTTTACACTTCCTTTTATTTTTAATTCTAGAGTTGTTTTGGTGACTATAGTGTCCCTTTAATTTGCATGAAAATATAGCCTCTTTCAAATTGTTCTTTCTTTATTACAGCAGCCTGTTAACAGTATTAGATATGTGCAGAACAGTAGCATTTAAGACAGATGAGCTGCCCCTTTCGATTCCAGTTGTTTTCGGAGCATGATATGAATAAGCAAATTGATCATGTAGTCACTTCTAACCTACTCAACCAGGGCTGATATCTTTGTGAGGTGATTTGCAGCAAGCAGACCTCGTTTTCCAATTTCTTCCAGGAGTTTACTTGTTTAAAGCTTGCATATAACATTTAATTGGGACCCCCCCTAACATACTGGCAGAATTCATTGAACATCACTGATAAAAAATTGATAAAACGTTTTCTGGCATTTTATGCACATAATTTGCATCCAAAAATCAGGAAGAGAATCTCCATCAAGCACGGGAATATGAAGAAGAACGGAAAGAAGCCACTGCCCATTTTCAGATGACACTGAATGAAATACAGGCACAGATGGAGCACCATGACGTGTATAATGCAAAACTTCGCCAGGAAAACATAGAGCTGGGAGATAAGTTAAAGAAGCTCATCGAGCAGTATGCTTTGCGTGAAGAGGTAGGCTTGTATAAAATATTACTCAATATGAAATGGTACTAGGTGAAAAGGAGCCAAAAATATGTTGCTGGGTTTTTTTTTTTTTTTTTTATAACAAATGCTAATTGGATAAGACATTGGTCTTTTTGGCTTTCAAACTGTTTGTTGTACTATCTGTATCTCTCTAAAAACAGTTTATCTCTCTGTATTTATGTTTATTATGTCTAAGCTCCATTATTGATCTGTATATTGTCACTTGTTTTAATTTTTAATCTTTCACGTTTTTTTGATTATTAGTTTTATATCGTACATACAAACATTTAAAAAGCAAGCAAAACAGTTGACATTACAAATAGACATATTTTACATGTAACATGGTTTAGTATGTGTCTCAGATATAACACTTATATACATATATTTAAACTTAGTATATCAAGCTATTTGAGTTTAAGTTCGTATAAAGTTATTTTTAGGAATTAATTTTTATTACTCGTTTAATTCGTTCGCTGAAATAAGAGTTTCAAATGTAAGGCCAAAAAAGCTAAATTGGAAAAATTGTCTATTTTTGCCAAGCTTCCAGTTTGTCTTCTTTGTCATAAAATATACCTTTTCTCTTTAGGTTTATTTAAAATTCTCACTTTTGTGAATAACCCTGTATATCTACAATGTTTTTTTTAAGTGGTTAAGTAGTATGTGTCTGACACGACATGTACAAAAGCTTTATTTTTTTTATTTCTGTTCGTATTTCTTTTCCTGATGGATGGAGGCAATACATGCCACAAGTTCTTTGCTATCCGGCAACCAATAAAAATTGTCATTCACTAAATTCCAAATTGTAGTGAATGTCAATGCAAATTTTGAGCTAAAATAGTCAAGCTGTGACCATAACTGAACTTTTCCAGATGATCTATTTTAGAGTATGTTTTAACTTGTGGATTTCCCTTTTTACTACATATTGGAATTTAGTAAATAATTCTAAAACTTGAAGAATTTGAAGAGATCTTGTTAGGCCCAGCAAAATATAATATCCTTGGTTTGTTCAACTTTAATTAGTGTTAGCTTAACTTTCACAACTACAACAGTGACACGTTGAATAAAAAAAATTATTCACTTGTATGTGAGCTATATTTTTACATATTGTTCCCACAAAGGCATTATTTTCTTTTAAAGGTGATTGCATATCCGTTTTGCAGTCCATTGCATTCTGTGGTAAAATTGGCTAATCTAACGTTGTCTGCCTCCCTCCACTTCTAGCATCTTTAAGATATGTGCTGCCCTATATATTTTGTTGTAAAATGGAAAAGAGACTCACGTGATAATTTGTGGAGATATTTTAAGAGCTATATTCAAACATACTTTTAACACGTTTCTCCAACTTTTGAGATCCGCCATTCTTTAAGCATCTCTTCCTCTGATAGTTTAAAATGCACAAACCTTTGTTTACTAATTCTTCGAAGGAAAAAAAAAAATCTTGGTACCATCCTACATTTCAGGAATACTCACAAACAATGCTTTCTAAAGAGCTGTTCGTCATGTTTCTCCTTCTTATAAACCTATCGATGACTGTAGTAATTTGTAAAAAAAAGTGTACAGATGATTCCAGATGATTGAACTATCGAATAAGCCAACTTTCTGCTAACTGTTACACATTTAAGATAAACACATATCTATCGTTGCAGCCTTACTTTGTGGTACTCCTAAAACATTACTTTTTTCATGCAAGTTGTCTTCCATCAACCTCTTCCTTTCCTCTTTTCTTTTTTCTTCCATCAACCCCCTTCTTACCCTTTTACCTCTTTAGTAACTACCATTGGTTTGTTATAACACTGACATATTTTCCCCTTTCTAGCAAATGCTAATATTTAGACTCTGGGATTTGACTTAATTTACTCCTATCTTATAAGACTGTTGGATACAAATTTGTTTTAATTTTATTTTTACTGAGGCTTAATAATGCAACACCTTAATCTGTGGCTACCTGTTAAAATGAAGTTGCACCATAGTTTTCATAGGACCTCCCATGCTTATACTTGCATAACCATGATCACTCCCTCTAGCACATCGAGAAAGTCTTCAAGCATAAGGAACTTCAGCAGCAACTGATTGATGCCAAACTGCAGCAGACCACACAGCTTATGAAAGAAGCTGAGGAAAGGCATCAGCGGGAAAGGGAATTCGTAAGTTTCTGTTTTTATCTAACTTACAAAACTGTATTGTGTTTTATTATTGGAAAATACACCATTCAGTTACTGCTTTGGAAGTGTTCATTACCCCCATTAGGTTCAGGTGTGTGAATATTAATCACAACACTTTAAACCTAAGTCCTGTGGTCTGCTGGCCACCTTCTCTTCTGGAGACAATGAGCTTTCATTTGCTATCCTTGGCTAAGCCCTGCACTGCCTAACTAGCTCAGGGCAGGGGGCCTAGGCTGCAGAGGAGGAGGCACCTTGAGTGCCCCAGCTAAATTGTAAAACCATTTGCTTATGGTTTGACTACTTACACCAACAGATTTTGTACAAGTATAGAAAAGTGTGTGAACTTACGTACAACTCTTTTCACACTGCCATTTAAAATTCAGTAAAGAACAGCTTTTCTGCAGAGTAACTTTAGTAAAACTTTAGTAAGGAGTGTCATGTGGGATGACACCTCGCTGGGACTGCTGTTAGACAAATTGTAGTGGGTGTGAAAGGGAACCTAGTGATCTCCGTTTGCATAGTAGCTGAATCAAGGTTGAAGGTTGTAACCATAAAATAATAATACATGATGGATAATTTTCCATGGATACAAATTTTTGAGTGCATTTGTATGTTGTGGGGAGCGTTTACTGGTGGAATTTTTTGCGAATAGAAAATCTAAGCGATTGCAAAGAATGAATGTGTTGGAGAGCAGCTCCGTTTTCTAAATAAGTGTTGGCACTGAAGTCTTGTCTTCCCAGTAACATACACTGCTCAAAAAAAAAAAGGGAACACAAAATAACACATCCTAGATCTGAATGAATTAAATATTCTTGTGAAATACTTTGTTCTTTACATAGTTGAATGTGCTGACAAAAAAATCACACAGAAAATAAGAAATGGAAATCACATTTTTCAACCCATGGAGGTCTGGATTTGGAGTCACACTCAAAATTAAAGTGGAAAAACACACTCCAGGCTGATCAAACTTTGATGTAATGTCCTTTAAACAAGTCAGAATGAGGCTCAGTAGTGTGTGTGTGTGTGTGTGGCCTCCACGTGCCTGTATGACCTCCCCACAACGCCTGTGCATGCTCCTGATGAGGTGGCGGATGGTCTCCTGAGGGATCTTCTCCCAGACCTGGACTAAAGCATCTGCCAACTCCTGGACAGTCTGTGGTGCACGTTGGTGGATGGAGCGAGGCATGATGTCCCAGATGTGCTCAATTGGATTCAGGTCTGGGGAACGGACGGGCCAGTCCATAGCATCAATGCCTTTGTCTTGCAGGAACTGCTGACACACTCCAGCCACGTGAGGTCTAGCATTGTCTTGCATTAGGAGGAACCCAGGGCCAACCGCACCAGCATATGGTCTCCCAAGGGGTCTGAGGATCTCATCTCAGTACCTAATGGCAGTCAGGCTACCTCTGGCGAGCACATGTAGGGCTGTGCGGCCCCCCCAAAGAAATGCCACCCCACACCATTACTGACCCACTGCCAAACCGGTCATGCTGGTGGATGTTGCAGGCAGCAGAACATTCTGCACGGTGTCTCCAGACTGTCACGTCTGTCACGTGCTCAGTGTGAACCTGCTTTCATCTGTGAAGAGCACAGGGCGCCAGTGGCGAATTTGACAATCTTGGTGTTCTCTGTCAAATGCCAAACGTCCTGCACGGTTTTGGGCTGTAAGCACAACCCCCACCTTTGCATGTTGTGCCCTCATACCACCCTCATGGAGTCTGTTTCTGACCGTTTGAGCAGACACATGCACATTTGTGGCCTGCTGGAGGTCATTTTGCAGGGCTCTGGTAGTGCTCCTCCTGTTCCTCCTTGCACAAAGGCGGAGGTAGCGCTCCTGCTGCTGGATTTTTGCCTTCCTACGGCTTTCCTCTACGTCTAGTGATGTACTGGCCTGTCTCCTGGTAGCGCCTCCATGCTCTGGACACTACGCTGACCGACACAGCAAACCTTCTTGCCACAGCTCACATTGATGTGCCATCCTGGATGAGCTGCACTACCTGAGCCACTTGTGTGGGTTGTAGACTCCGTTTCATGCTACCACTAGAGTGAAAGCACCGCCAGCATTCAAAAGTGACCAAAACATCAGCCAGAAAGCATAGGAACTGAGAAGTGGTCTGTGGTCACCACCTGCAGAACCACTCCTTTATTCTGGGTGTCTTGCGAATTGCCTATAATTTCCACCTGTTTTCTATCTCATTTGCACAACAGCATGTGAAATTGATTGTCACTCAGTGTTGCTTCCTAAGTGGACAGTTTGATTTCACAGAAGTGTGATTGACTTGGAGTTACATTGTGTTTAAGTGTTCCCTTTATTTTTTTTGAGCAGTGTATTTAACTCCCAGCTTGCTGTCACATTTATGCTGTTTTATCTATTTTTTTTTTTTTTGTGCTGATTGGCTTCGTTTTCCCCTCTGGCAAGCAGGCACGTTAAATGGTTTACATTGTATCCCTTAGTTATTGAATGAGGCAACAGAAACAAGACAAAAATTTGAAGAGCTAAAACTTCAAGAGAGCCAGTTAAAGCAGCAGGTAAGTGCTTGTCCAATTGTCTTAAATAATCAATGTAAATGTATGTGTTAATTATTCCCAAAAGCTGATCTGGAGGCTCCTGGGCAGCTATTATTGTTGTAGCACTGAGCTGAGACGTTCAGTACAGTATTTTGAACATTGTGACATTCATGTATTCCTTGACTCGACATTTTACGATGGCTGTTGATGCTGTATTATATGCTTCATTCTTAATCTGTAAAAGTAATCTGCTAGCATTGAAACATGGTGGAGGCAGGTTATGCAGTTTAGATGATGTCAATATAGTCTAATGTCTGAGATTACCATATCCTTTGTTTCACTTTTTTTTATTTTTTTTTAAATGCGCATAATGGATCTTCCCTTCTGTGATATATAGTAAAGGCATTCAAGAATGCATAGGAAGAACAAAGAAGCACGATCAGTCTGTGATCTTATAATGGGCAAATTGGATGGTCCAATTTGTTCTTATCTGGAGTCAGTCTTTGTTTCATTATCTGATTTGGCTTTAATGTGAGACTAGGGGAAAAGTTCCTTTTGAGTGTATTTTCCAAAATTCTCAGATAACACACTTTGAAGATCATCATTTCCCCATGCAGCAGACTTTTTAGCTGTTCTCTTTGCCCACTAGCCCATATTTATGGACAAAGATTGTTTTGTTATCTTTTTGGTAGAGATTTTGAAATGACACCAGAAAACAGAAGGCACATTACAATATTGTAAAGGGGGAAATTATAGAAAATTACACAGATACAGGATGGTCCTTGCTTGAAAGAGTGTGTGTATATATAAATGAAACCTGAATAGCATAACCAAGGCTTAAAAAAGTAAAGCTGTAATGAAGTAGAATATTTTTTTCTAAATATTGAAGTGTTGCCTGAATTTTTAATTTCACTGCGATTTATTTTTGCGATTTTGTGTTGTTTTTATCTTGTTTGTGAATAAATATCCTGATGTGTCATTTCATATTAGTCAGAGCATCATCACACACTTAAAATGGAAAATAATGCAAACAAATGTGTAATTCGACAAGAAAAATTCAACACTTTTTAGACCATGTTTAGATTAGATTATACAGATTAGAGACCATAAAATTGTCCAAACACCAGCATTATTAGGAAAAACATCCTCATGAAATTTGTAAAAATATGCCATTAATTTTTTAAAAATATATATAATATGTATATATATATATTTTTTTTTTTTTTTTTTCAACTTAAAATAGTCCCCACCATAATTTGTAATCAAAAAGTTGTCAAGTTGCAATGCATCTATACTCTGTAAAACCCTTATAAATTACATATGGCAGGAAAGAAATAGTCTATTCCAACACACAAGTCCTTCATTCCTCATATCTTATTACTTATACAATATTTTACAGAAAGAATGTCTCGGAGCATTATACATATGTTCCTACAAAATTAAATAATGTTCAGAAGAAGTATGTGTACTCAATTCGTGTTCAATTAAATGTTAGTGTGAAATATTAAAGAAAAAGGAGGTAGATGTTGTCTAATTCTGCCTTCCAAATAAAGCAGAGTGATATTCATTCCCAGTGGTTCATCTATAAAATTAAGTAACAAACAACTCTCACATCTATTTTTGAGCTCTTAGTGTGAATAACCAGAACATGTGATATATATATATTGGGATGTGTTGTCAAGTGCTTTTCCATATATGTTAGACTGAGAGGGTGAACAAAAATGTATACAAAATTGAATGTTCTAAAGTGCAAAAATTCAGTGTTACAAAAAATAAATTTTGCCATTTTAGTTTTAAAGTGTGTTTAATCAGGATTGAAAGATCGTTTAAAGGGACACTATAGTCACCTAAACAGCTACAGCTTAATGTGGTGAGCAAAGTCAGTCGCTGCAGGCTTTTCGCTATAAACACTGTCTTTTCATAGAAAGGGCAGTGTTTACATTACTTCCTAAAGACACCTCAAGTGGCAATCACTCAGACGGGTCAGTTCCTGCGTCAGTGCACTGACGTTCAGCGTCTTCAAGATCTCCATGGAGACGCTGAACTTTCCCCTTATAGATGCATTGATTCAAAGAATCTCTATGAGGAAATGCGTGATAGAATTTACCCATAGGAAAGAATTAGGAGACTGAGTATTCTGATGATCTCAGCCAAGGAGGTGGAACGGATACAAAGACCGTGCCGGCGGATCCACGCAACGGTGGAATAAAGGAGTTTTCTACTTATTTAAGGGGGGGGGGTCTAAAGCTAAATAGTATTTTTAACACTATAGGGTCAGGAATACATGTTTGTATTTCTTGACCTATATTATTCCGTTAATACTCTGGTATGGATATGTAACTTAATAATACTTATGCAAAAATATAGTTTCTTGTTTGTACAGCTTTGGGACAGTAGGCAATAACTCTCTGACACACAGTGACCCATACACCAACACTGATACATACAGAGTGACCAATGCAAACAGTGACCCATACTGACACTCACAGTGACCCATTCATAAACACCAACACACAAAGTGACCCATGCACAAAACTGTGACACACACAGGTACCCATACTGACACACAGTGTCCCATATACACACTTTAATCTCATTAAGCTGTACCTCACTAGATGCTGTCTGGACGCATCACTATGCCAGTGTGCTTGTCCTCAGTGTGTCCTCCATTTCCCCATCTTTCATTTTCCAGGTTGATGGCCCCCAGGATATAGTGTAACTAGGTATCCTAACAGCATTTACCTTGTTAAATTATTATCGACTTATTGCTGTCGCTCCTTGCTCTTCCCCACCACTTCTCCAGGTTAGCTAAATTTAATATATAAAAATCTCTGGCAGCGGCTTACTGGGAAAGCTCCCCCACAAGTCACAACAGTGAGAGGGCACATGCACCTGTCTACGGATCTCCCTGCCACTCATGTGGCGGATGCAAAAGTGTCCTCTGTTGTGTTGTTTTTGTTCCCTTGAGTACCGTGATCCAAAGGGTAAAGTGCCACCAGGTGGCACTAAATCTAGATGAGATTTGAGCCTGTCCTGTTTTAGGCTCATCTACACGTGAGTTGATACTTCACAAGATTGCTTCACAATATACTTTAATAACACAGATATATACTATGTGTTTCCCCTTGTTTTCTTTCATGTATACATTGAGACCAACTGGACCACATTACCATTTCTATTTTATGATAAGATCAGATAATCACTATTTAGGGTAGGTGTCTAATCCATAATACTTACCACTCCACTCTTGAGGATAATTGCTTTTCGTCTTTTTTCCCACTCTTTCTTTGTTTGCATTAGTATGTGCCTTGGCACACATCGCATATCCCAATACATTTAACACAGAAGGCCATCTACCCATTTCCTCCGTTTTGGCCTTTCATGTTGGAAAATGGATGAGGTTTTTCTGAGTGTTCTTAGATCTGTTTTTCTTAATCTCAGCTTTATGGAGAATGTATTCAAATTGCACAGAGGCACTGGTGTGGGCTCTGCAGCTTCAGGTGGACTTTGTTCAGCTCTTCTCTGGTGTCAACCAAAAAATGCCAGGTCCATGACCCACTTGGTAATCATTAAGTTTGGTCAATCCTTCAGGCCCATCTACACATTCTCAGATATTAGACCTCATCTTATTCGCCAGTACTTTGTTTACTTTATCAGACCTGCTTATTCACTAGCACCAACATTCGTTTAGCAGACTCCCATGTTATTGGCCTGGCCGCCCCACCCCCTAATTCCTTATTAGACATTGTCTTTCAATCCATTTCAGAGGTCCTCACGGCACCGCGTGTAAGGGCAGCAGTGTGTCCACGTTTACTTCTCATTTCTCTTAAAAATACACTTCTCTTGAACACCTTGAGTTCACTTGTCAAAAGTGCAGAATAGCAATGATGTGAGAACAGTTGCATCCTGCTAGACCCTGCCCTTCCTAAACTGTTGCAATGTGATAACATTTATTGCACATCCGTAGTCAGGGATGATAGGAGTCTAACTTTACACAGTTAATCATAATTTGTTGGGCTCTTTATGGCGATTTGGGTGCCAGGATTTGAGAAGGCAAAGCCGGTGAAGTTATGGTTTGTCTGGAGGGATATAATTCTTGTGGTGGCATTTGTTCAGAGGTCTCCACAAAGGGTTTGTTGCTACAATTTCTGTAATTCCTTTTAATTTACTGTGTAATGATGCTCCCACTGATATGATTTGATATGCCCATATTTGTGTATATACACTAGTGATCTCATTGGTACCTGTCTTTGTTTTTTTATATATATATATATGGTTTTTTTTTTTGTTTTGTTTTTTGCTTTTAACGGTTTTTCATTTTGGAATGCCTTTATTGTTTCAGCTTTCTCTTTATATGGAAAAGTTTGAGGAATTCCAAACAACAATGGCAAAAAGTAATGAACTTTTTACAACGTTTAGGCAAGAAATGGAGAAGGTTTGTTTTGTTTTGTTTTACTTATGATTAAGTTACTCCTAATGTTATGTTATATATGGGATTAACCTCTGTAATGATTCCAATACAACCTATAGCGCGTCAAACTCTTATGACCAGCATTTCTGGTTAAATATCTTCTGTATTTTGACAGGCATCACTCTACAATGGCTAATGTTTCTAAAAAGCTGGTCTACTGGACAGTGTTTTTTTGTATGTCAGTTAGGGTGTGGGTACACCTTATTTTACAAAAAGTATAGTCAGAATGGACCCCATACAGTCCGCCATGTATCAAAATAAAAGGGTCCACACTGCTTCATCCCTCTGAACTCATTTTAGTATCCATTTGATGCCTGCAAAGAAATAGTGAATGGAAAGTAAATTTCATCAGTATTGCTGCACTGTTGGATACTGAAATCTTTTTTTCACGTTTTTTGTTAATTCCATCTTTTACTATTTTTGTTATCTTCCTTTAATAAGTTTGTTTTGCACTGTTTTTGTTAGACATCCAAATGTCATGTTTGTCTTTTTTTATTTTATTTATTTATTTTTTAAGATGACGAAGAAAATAAAGAAACTTGAAAAGGAAACCGTGGTCTGGCGCACAAAGTGGGAAGCCAATAACAAGTCTCTACTACAGATGGCTGAGGAGGTAAGTTTATTTTGATGCCTCTAGTTCTTTATAGAGATGCTTGGATCTTTACACAGACATCTATACATTATCGTTTCAGAAGAGGTGTCGCACATAACTGAAATAAACTGTGTCCCCAGCCACTAATATAGAACTATATAGTTTCACACTACTTTTGTGTATGCTGAGTCTCGAACTAAGGTTTCCCTTGATTTCACTTCAAGTAAAACCATATATGTCAATAGCAAGATATATTTAAAGTAGAGTCCAACAGCCAGCGAAAATAGTCTGCTGAAAACGAACCACTTTTGCTATATTCCAACTGAGTTTCTTGCAAAGTATTGGAGCCTTTGTTGAGACTGGATTTCCCCTGTTGATACTAAGCCTTTGTAGCAACTGGTCAGCATCTGTCATGCCAGCAGAAAAGTACTGTTGTTGCAGGCCTCTGCCAGGCAACTGAAAAATTCTTGTTTATATGACATAGCTTAAGCCCCGAGGGGAGGTTACCAGAGAGATAAAAAAAATATATCTCCATAAGACTGGTAGCCTTGATAAATCTTTGCCATGTTTTGTAAAGTAAACCATGAAATTTCACAAATTCTCCAAGTCAATTGTGCGGTGTGTAGTTTACCATTGAGGCATTGGAGTAAACGTGGAATTTTAAAAAACACTCTTGGGGTAGGACACATTGTTTGCATTAGTTGGAAAATTGTGGTCAAAAGTCTGTGTATAGTCCACTTTCCAAAGTTTGGGATTAATTGTCACCACATGTCCTACCCATTCACAAATACAAGATTGCAATGATAGCCCTAATATACACCAGCTACCCATTAATAGAATCCAGGGGGAAAATGTTACAGAAACACTAAAAACTGCCCCTGAAGTCACTAATAAAGCACCACATTTTAATACTTCCCTAGCTGTTTTTTTTATAGAACATCCGCTGTATGTGGAGTGGTGACACTCCAGATCCCTATAGCACTTTAGCTTTCTGAAAAGCTTTTTTTTGTGTGAAGTGTGCCCTATTTTAATTGTTGGGCAAAAAGTGCAGATTCCAATTGAAAATGCCACTTTTTTTTTTTTTTTTATTAACCTGGTAACACCTTCCTAGCTTTCAAGTAGACACTGTCCTGTTACTTTCTGGTTTGTTTAGCTTAGTGGAGCTTACCTCAAGAGGCAGCAATTTCTCAGTGTACCGCCTTGCAAAGCCTTCTCATTGAGCAGCATTGGTTTGTGATTGGACAGCCACAGAAAGTCTGGGCGGGGTCAGAAGTGGAGAGTTTGCAAAGGCATCAGACAAAAGAACTGCATATTTTGTAAGATGGTTTTAGATAAATCCCCAATGGGAAAAAATGCATGCAAGGTCATGTTTGGGGTAATGGACACACACACACTCACTCACTCACTCACTCACTCCTGGAGATCGAAAAAAAATATAAAAAATATATATATATATATATATATTACATACGCACACACACTCCTGGAGATTTCATATTTCAATCAACACAGGTTTGTGGTAACTATATAACTATACACCCTATAAAAACAAAACAAAGCTGTGTTGACTGATTTATTTATGTAGTTGTGTATTTGTATGTACTGTTGTGATTGGAATGTAGTGGTGTATTTGTGTGTGGTGTTTGCGTTTGAATTCAATGGTGTTTGTATATAATTTTTGTATTTTAATACTGGGGTGTGTTTATATGTAATGTCTGCATTTAATTGCATGGGTGTGTTTGAATGTAATGTTGACCTTTAAATGTGGATGTACATTTGTGTGTTGTATTGGTGTTTGAGTGAAGGCTTGTGTATAATGTTGGAGTTTAAATGCAGGGGTGTGTGTATATAAAAAATATAAACACACTGACCCATATACATACAGATGCACACACAGATGTGCACACACCTTGATACACATACACTCATAATGTGACATACGTAAACACATACACACATAAATGTGATCATTTTTAAATTTGCAGCCACCCTCCTGTTGGCATACCTTTTTTGTCTAGGAGTGTTTCATGCTTGGGGTCCTGCTGGCTGAGATCGATAGGAGTGAGTGCAGGGGTCTGCAGCCACTCACTCCAGGCTGTTCTACTCCCTGCTGGTGCTACCACCACCTCCTTCCTACCCTCGCGGCACTCTCTTATGACGCAGGGAGGAAGGGACAAGCTGTGACTTCCTCCCAGTGCGGCCGATATTACAGGGGTCAGATCACACTACTCCCATCGGGCCCATGTTTAGTAATTATTTAGGCCGAATAACAAATTTTTTTTTTTTTTTAGTGCATAGTTTAAAAGACATGCTTGCATTAACAATTCAGATGATATATCACAGTGAAAGATAGTAATGATAACATGAAAAGTCAAGAATACTGCACTTGGAGGGAATGGGGTGAAAGAACACTTTGAGACGGGGGAGGGGGGAAAGAACACAAAAAAAAGAGGGTGGGGGAGGATGATCACAGGGGGGGGTGGAGGAGGAGGAGGAACATTAAGCTGGGGGAACCACTAAAAGAGAAGGGAAGTTTTCATATTCACTTAAATTAATTAAAAAGTCTAATTAATAAAATTTATAGTAAAAAAAAAAAAAGTGTGGCTTTTTTTTTTTTTTAAACTATTTGGGGAAAGTCGGCTAAGGGCATCCTGAATTTTCACTTTGGGTTTCGGCCCAGAATTTTCATTTCGGTGCGTCCCTAAATGCATTGGCTACCCGATGGGGTTCTCAAAGTGTGTTGGCTTTGGCTTTAGTCCTGCCTCTAGGTGAGTATCGAGCTGCAAATGCAGTGTTGGCAGGCTCATGGATTAGTGTGTTTGTGCGATACATCCAAAATCATCTGGTGACCCACACTTTGAGAAACGCTGGTTGGTTGGTTGGTTTTGTTTTTGTGCAGAATCTGGCAAACTTGAGCGTGCATACTAAGCTAGGTAATTTATATTGTTACTATCATTTGTGTGTATAATACCAGATTCTGCCCTGGTTAAATTGAGGAAAATGTATAACTGCAAAAATGTGTTTGCAATTATGCATTTAGACTAATTTAGCAAACAAATGCATTCATTTTTATGAGGCCTACTAACAATCTTGCACGCTGCTTTCAAGATGGATCCAAGGTTTTCATCAGGTGTAAGGAGACTTCCTTTCATATTTTAGAACAGACTTCCATGCATGACTCGCTTCTGTGCAAAATGATTCACATTCACTTGTTGTCTGTTTTGTCTTTTAAGAAGGCTTATTATAGGTTTTAAAATTGTATCTGCACATACTCGGCTGTGTTGTTCTCATATGAGGCAAACAGTGTAATCCGAAAAATGCTGACACTCAGTCTAAGCCTTCTCCGCTGCAACAAGGCCATCTTTACCGGTGGCTTTATGTAAATAACTGTGTGCTTTGTCTTGAAATTTCTCTGGATGTACTGTAATCTGTTGCAGCACCTAAAACCTAGTAAATATCTGAAGGACGGCCACCAGAGGAACCTCTTTCTTTGTATAAAAAAAAATCAATCAAAACCGCTATGCTTTCATCACCACTCTTTAAAAGCAGTCTTTTGAAGTGAAAAATTAAGTGGACTTAATTGGTTTTCTAAACAAAATAATCCTACTACATGTTCTTCGTATCGTAGGTGACAGGATGTTGTCTATTGTCTTCAGTCTTAACATAAGTTTTTCTTGTTTAAAGGTCAGAATAGTGCCATTTTTGGACTGCTGCATTGTTTAAGTCTATATGACATTCCTAAACATTTATTTTTCTTTACCACAGAAAACTGTACGAGACAAAGAATACAAAGCTATGCAGTTTAAATTGGAGCGTCTAGAGAAGCTTTGCAGGGCCCTTCAAACAGAGCGGAATGAGTTAAACAAAAAGGTTGAAATTCTCCGTGATCAAGTTTCTATTCGAGACGACCAGGATCCAGGAGAAGGAGACTCGATAGGGACAAGTACAGTGGAATCTTCTAAAGAGCTGTGTCAGATCACAGACAGAGACGAATCTGGAATTCAGCCCATAATTGTATCTCAGTCATCAGATGAAATAGTACAAGAGGAAAAGACTTGCATAATTGGCTCTTGTGACATAGATTCGGTGGACTAAAACAAGGTCCAGATACACAAGTATATATATATATATATATATATATATATATATATATAGTGTATAACTTTGTTGGTGGTAATTTGCTTTGTGGTGACAAATTTCTTACTTTTTTCTACCATATCTGTATTTTCTTAGGACTTCTGGATTACATGTGGTACACAAAGCTTCCTAGCATCTTTGTACGGTCTAGTAGACAGTTTGACAATAGTCCTTATTTTAGGTGTCCATGCTCTGGTACGGGGGGTGCATGTTAAAGACACCCTCGTTAGGAGCAGCATGTCTTGATTTAAAAAAAAAAAAAAAACTAAATAAATGGGGGGTTGTTGTTTACATCACATGTTATGAAATTTTACTAAAATATAAAGTTGAATCTTTATTTTGACCATAAAGGAACTGAAATAGTATATATTTCGTTTTTTACGCCACTTGTATGCATAGTTCAAATATGATCGTTTTTTTTTTGTTTTTTTTTAAAGAAAATAGTGAAGATATGCAGAGGCTAATATGCAGAGTTCTATAGACAGTAGATCCATAAAACTTATCATGCAATCCGGACAACAATTTGAATTAACTAGGTGTGTGTATAGCTGGCATTGTCTGGACTTGTGTAAAACCATTAAACTGGTTTATGAAATACATAACAAGAAAAGTAGCCAGTATTTTAGGTCTTAAAGTGGCACTGTCATGATGATCTTACCTTTCTCCTATTGTTTCCGCTCCACTTCCTCTCTCAGAATCTGTTCTGATTTCTTTTATTTCTGATCTAGTTTTCTTTAAAACAGATAAGGTAGGGACTACTTTGTCTTGTGCATTTTTCCTATGCTTGACTTTCTTTGACATGTGGAGTTTAAGTGGGTTCCATTTTCTGTGTCAAGGAGAAGGGTGAGTACTTTCTCTGACATGGGAAATGGAGCAGGCTTAAGCTCCTCCTTTAATCAAAGAAAGTCAAGCATATGAAAAATACATAAGTCAAATTCGTCTCTACTTTCTTATGTTTTAAAGAAAAGAAGAACCGATTCAGAGAGAGGAAGCGATAAGAGAAAGGTAAGTTCTGTGTGACAGTGTTTTTTTAACTGTAGACTTGATAATGCTATGGTTGACCGCTGAAACATCAGGCACTTTATTACTGTATTGAATACATTTTAGAGTTTTGTCCAGAGATTACAAGTTATTTTATAGGTTGTAGTGGACACATTTTGTAATTTTAGTTTAAGATTACTCACTAGGCTCTAAAACCTTCAGTTTCAGTTGGTTATAACCTAGTCAGGCCTTTTATTAAATATTTTAAAATTCCTTTCTTTCTTTCTTCTGGAAATCTTTCTGTTCTGCAAAATTAGGTTAGAACAATAGCGATTTATTAAAAATCAGAACTATGGTAAAGTACTGGTAAATTTAGTTCACGTATGAGCCCATTTTTAAGTGTGTCCCCCCCACACCGAAATATGTCAGCAGAGGAGATAGAAACGGCATAATTCTTTCTTCCCAGCTTCTTTTCGTATCATTAGTTAGAAAGGGACTGTATTAATGGCCACTGCTTCCCCAAATCTCAGGCAGACTAGGACATGCATGTGCTGGTGCTGTTCTAAGGTTAAAGAATCCCAAACAAACCACAGCACTAAAAAAGAAAACTCACATAATATACTTAATAGTCAAGTGTATTAGTCAAAGCACTATAACCACTACATGCTATGGTAACAGGCGCTGGTCAGACCAAACTTGCTGGAATTGCTAGTGCAGTAATGGATCATCTACCTTTGCAATCTGTTTAATTCATATTTTTCACTTCATTCATCAGGGTGTAGTAGTTATGGTATATAGATGGACCATAATACCAAAATAATGCCGTCTTAGTTTTCTGGAGACATTAATGAACCACTCTACCTTTAGTATAATGACTTTCATCTGGAAAAATACTGAGGCCCTAATTTATGGGAGTTTTTTTTTATATTCATTACATATAGCGGTTTCTGTTGGTATACATGTTTTCCCACATATATTACTTCTTTGTTTAGTAAGTTGTAAGCCATATAACAAACCATGCTACTTGTTCTCATGACATACCTCTTTTAGAGTAATTTTTGGAATGTGCAATACCATGTACCGCAACGGAAGCCCAGATAAGTCTAATTAATGCTTTATTTAAGCTTATTCCAAAAAATCTAAATGGATTTTGAAAATATTACTAAAATTCTAAACCTGTGCAGGAAACTTACTGGCAAGTATAGCGAGCAGCTAGACTTCAAAATCAAATTTCTATCAATCCAAGCCTGAACAAATCGACCCGTCCAGGTAAATCACAGGCAAATTGATTTTGTTCTGTTTTTGATTAAAAGAAATTTGATTTGGTCGAACTGGTAGAAACAAATTTTTTTTTTGCACAAACAAAAAGCCAATTTATGGTGCGCTGTGACCTAAATTTTCTTGTTTTACACATCATATACTTCATTACTACAGGGTTCTAAACCATAAAGTGACATATAGTGCAGAAAACGTCTTTACAATATATATAAATCTACATCACCTTTCCTTCCTTTCTGAATGGCACTTACATATATCAGAGCCACTTCCACCCTGCTCTGGGTTAAAAAGACCAATAATAAGATGGATTACTCTCCGTGGAAAGTCTTTCCAACACTGCCCATAGTGCAGTAGTTAGCTGCTATTTTTGTACAAGTCTGCCATATACTCTTTTGTTTAAAATATCTTTGTGTATAGACTGCAAAATGGCTCTGATCACATGTAGGGCATGTTCTGAGGAAAATTAGGCCAGTTGGGTTGAAAATATTCTAATATCCATGATTGTTAGACACTTAAATTAGTCATCCTTGTCTATGATTCTCACACCAAATTTTTTTTGTAATTTTATATATATATATATATATATATATATATATATATATATATATATATATATATATAAATAAACATTTTCCAGCTGACTAAAGCAGCTTTTATTTCATATCTTGTAAGTAAAAATTTTGAAACCTACGTTTAGCTCATCAAATGTATCACAACTGGTTTATATACCAAAGGTTGACAAATGCTGCTGAGTGCAACATATTTCACAGCATATTCTTTTTGTTTATTTTAACACATTTCGTTTTTGTCCCTGTTAGTATAGCGTTTTGATGACCTTCATAGTAAGGGTTTACAAGCATTGCCAATCTATTTGTATGAAGACATTTTCAGGGACCACAAACATCCTGCCCACCTGAGCTGGATTGCAATAGACCACCTAAGGCAACTGATTGAATTCCATTGAGGGCATCATATTTACCCTGTTTTTGAAAAGGGAAACAAAACATAAATTAGAATACCCAATAAAAAAAATCTTTAATGCTTTCATATTGCCATTTGTGCTGTGCAGAGGATTTGTGTGAGACCACTGAAAATGTACCTTCATTTTACATACCTAGAACAGGACATTTTCCAATTCAGGCTTTCACATGTTATTACATGTTCCTCCAATAATCAGTTTAGCTGGCTGTCGATTTTATGATTTTTTTCGGCTTAGTTTTTTCATAGATAAAATTGTTTCAGAATTGTTAAGAAAATAAGTACAGGGTACCAATTAACTGCACTGTTATTGCTTTTATTGAAAATTATTATGTAATGCTGCCATTGCAATCTGCACCTCATGCAAGCATGGATGAGATCAGATGAGAGCTGTTTGCAGCTGTGCTGCCTATAAATGAGTTGTACATTCCATTTTGATATAGGATCCTTACAGACCATTTTTTGTGACCTAAGATTGTCTCTTAATGTATGACCTAGCTTAACACAGACCACATTTAAAGGAAAACTGTCATCATTTTTAATTATTTAAAAGAAATAAAGAATGCATGTATTATAGCTTCTGTATTTATTATTTTGCACTACTTACATAGAAATAAATATCTATTTTTGGTGCATTTCCTGGCTTAGATCTGACTAAATACCTTGCTGGAAACCAAGAGACTGGATTCAAAAATCCAAACTTTATATACCAGGCAGCCCCAGGCATCGCAAAGACTCAATTGGAGTTGATTTCCGCTGTTTATTGTGCACAGTTTTCAGTCATATAAGTGGTCCACAATGCAAGGACAAGCCAGGTGGTTCGATTTACAAAATAATACACAGTGGCTATATTACATGTCATATTGAGAGAAAAAAATATATATATATTTTATTTTATTTTTCTTCTTCTTCCAACTTTAAAATACTGCTATGCGGTAGTTTACAATTAACATTATTCAGAAGGTTATAAAATAGTATGGCACATATTAAAGGTAATCTTCTGGCGTACCTTTATATACACGTGTTACTTTGCAGCTAGTATTTTTTTTCTTTTGCTGCAGGAGAGGCTACACTAAGCTTGGGGTCATTTAGTCTGGCTCTTTGGGTAAACCCAGCAGTGACTGTAGCCTTAGATATTAAATCAGATGTCAATGTCCAATTAGTCTCCAGTTAACTGTCATTAATGATCTTAAAAGGACACTATAATCACTAGAACAACTACAGTGTAATGTAGCAGTTCTGGTGTCTATAGCCTGTCCCTGCAGCCTTTTCAAAGAACCCAGTTGTCTGGTAATACCTCTATTGGCAGTCATTCAGACTGCCACTAGAGGTGCTTCCTGTGTCAGTGTTGAATAGTGTGAAGCACCTACATTTAGTGTCTCCACACTTTTCATAGAGACACTGAACGTTCCCCATAGAGATGTATAGATTCAATTCGTTGTAGGTAACCATCATATAAAAGCATAAAATCTCATAATGTTCAGAAGTAAGACCTCAGAAACAACCAAAAAAAAAACACCACCTCAGTAACATGAAGGATTTCATTTGTAAAGGCAGATCCACATTATTGTAGACTAGTTAATCTCCTTTAATTTAAAACTGGGGTCTCAAACTCCATTTCACTGGCCAACACATCATCTCACATAATAGCAGTTTATTCCCCCCCCACGCCCACTTAGACACAGTTTGTACTCCGTCACACACACATAGAACCACACTGACAGATACACACATAAGCACTCACAAAAAATGTACAAAATCCCACAAACTCACTGATACAGGCACTCATGGAAAATACCCAAATTCTAGCATGACCAACAGAGTGATGAGTGTTGCGGGTGCTTGTGACCGGACTTGTCCACTGAGAATATGGCACATGGTGTGTAAATGGGGAGTAGGAATATGATATGCCATTATGTTTACTCGCACTGCACACACAGCTTTGTGTACTGGATCCTTTAAGCCATGCTACATTATCTGGAAAGCAGCCACATTTGCCAAGCTGTCCAGTAGCACACCAGCCTACTGGCAGCTGTTTAAATGTCTCAACAACTGTCTGACTATTGAGATGCTACTCTGCAGAAAGGGTCTGCAAATGTCCATAGGCAAGTAGTTTAAGACCTCTGGTTCATAGGCTATTGTGGATTACATTCCCTTTGCTGAACATCACAGGAATCAGTCCTTCAAGAATCTGTATTCCAAAAGTTAGGCCTCTTTTGTTGACAGTCACCAGTATTACATTGTAATGTTTAATAGTTTATTCCAATTTTATGTAATAAAAGGGAACGATCCATTTCTAGTATTTTAATACTATGTTATACATATTTCTGTAATTTAACGAACACATACTTATGAGGTCTGAAGAAATCAAATAAAAGGTAGAAATCTACACTGTCTCCCTTCAACTTTGCACCCTGTCAGTCATCGTTATGAGCTCTACTCCAAAACAATAAGTATCTTTGCTGTGCATGGATTGTGATGTCACAAGTCTTAAATCACAAATCTTCAGTATACACTGGAAGTAATCTATAACTTGTGTTAATTTATTATGTTCATGTGCTGCTTTCTTTAAAGGGTCACTGTAGACATCAATTGATTAAAGTGGTTATGGTGCCTGACGTCCTTAGACGCTGGTGCCCGCATTACCATTAAAAGGTTTACTCCCAATTTCACAGATTACTTCCTGCAGCTTGGCCTCCAATGTTGAAATGGCAAATGTGGGGCTATGCTCGGTTTCATGCCATTCCACAGTTAGTGGGTAATGATAGGGTGACACAGCCAATCACTGCTTCAATTCCTGATGTAGTAATTGGAGGCTGAGCTTCGGACTATCCAGGTACCAAGCATCTTTGCTAAACGATGAGTAAAGTGTTTAGCAGTGATGCTGGACTTGGCCCCCACAGACTCCAACCACCATAACTATTTCAAACAGTCAAAATGGTACGGTGCCAAGTGTTTGTTTAACTGTTTTTTCAGTGATGTAATTTCCAGATAATTGACCGTTCCCCTTTTGAGGCCATATGGTGCAATTTCATTTGCTAAAAGTAAACCACAGCATTTTTGTTCTGGCTTCCCAGAGAAAGACCTCTTTCTGTCTAATTGCTTTTTTAGTATTTTCAGTAACTGTTGAAATATCTGGCGTTCCTATGTTTTAGTGATACCATACAAAAGCCCACTTGAGCCTTTCTTTATCCTTGTGTGCTAGTGCTGTATTGAAAAGGGCATCATTTACTGCTTGTGGACTTTTTATTTAACTGCTATAGGGAAGCTATGCACATCATATCCTCGTCCAACACATATGGTTGGTCTACTTTTTTTGTATACCTTGTTATACTAGTAAAACAATACTTTTTGCAATAGTGTTATACAGGGCGAAAGGTTTTATTAAAACCTTTATATGTACTTAAAAAGGGCTACAATGCGTTGAAAAATCCCAAAGTGCACCTTTTCCTGCAAAAAAGAATGCACAACAGTTAATTTTCTCTTTGTCTTCCCACTTAAAAAGCATGACAAATCTGTAATTATTAAGTTTTAATTTAGTTCAATCTCTCTAATGTAGCATTTTCTTTGGGCAAAATCAGAATGTGGTAAATAATTTTCTGCCACCGTATAAGAAAAAGTGAATTAACAATTTATTTATTTTTTTACCTTTTACTTTTACAATTTTTCTGTTTTAATTGTAATTTTTTTTTATAGAACTATAATAACCACTGCCATTACCCCTTTCTGTAAGTGCAAAGTGATTCATACTTCAAGCGCTTTTGTTTGTTTTTTTCCTTTTTCTTTGATTCTAAACCTTAAAGGAGAACTGTCACCTCAGCACTATATTTTAATATAATGATCCTTTCATCAAGATTTGTTCCTTGAAGTATATGCAAATCATGAGAAATGTATCCCTACCTTAAGTATGTGACAGGATCCTCCGCCAATATACATACACCTTGGGTCAGACCGTGTTTTAAAACCTCTATATAGTCTCTGGTGTCCCTGCTGCACTCAATGTACTGGGCAGTAACATCATAACATTGACTAACAGTCACATTCAAACACTGTCTGAGCCAAGGTGTGTGTGTATATGGCTGAAGGATCCTGTCACATACTAAAGGTAGGGATGAATTTCTCATGATTTGCATATACATGAAGGATCCCGTCTACAAGGTAGGGATGAGGTTTTTGGTTTTTTTACATATACTTTAACAAATAATTTATTACCTTTCAAAAGTTGATAAAAGGATCATTATCTTAAAAATAGTTCGGGACATCACTATTCATAGTATTTTCATTGTTTTCCACTTTTCCCAAATTATCATGTGTAGTGCGTACCTGATCTGCGACAAAAACTACTTTTAGAGCTGTATTTTATTTTACGTATGAGGGAGACCAGGAGGGCTTACTTTGACCAAAACAAGTGTTTTCTTAAAACATTGTTTTTTTGGTTGGATAACTCCTTTAACCCCTTAAGGACACATGACATGTCATGATTCCCTTTTATTCCAGAAGTTTGGTCCTTAAGGGGTTAAAGGAACAATATAGGGTCAGTATTCCTGATCCTATATTGGTTATAAACACCATCTGCCCTTCCCCCATAAATATAGTAAAATCTTACCTTTATTCCAGTTTGCTGCTGCCCCTGTTCTGTCTCCTTGGCTGATATCATCACAAGTGGTGTTCTGAGCCAGTCACAATGTTCCGATAGGTAAGCATTGGATTGGCTGAGATTGTCAAGAAGGCAGGTCAGGGGCAGAGCCAGCCTTCATCTCCTCATAGAAATGCACCTCTATGAGGAAAGTTCAGTGTCTCCATGCAGAGGGTGACCGTAAAGCACCTGTAGGGGCAGTGGAGGTATCCCTAGGCTGTAATGTAAACACTGCATTTAAAACAGTGTTTACTGCAAAAAGACTGCAGGGAATGATTATGCTCACCAGAACAAATACAATAAGCTGTAGTTGTTCTGATGAATAAAGTGTCCCTTTAAGTAATGAGATATATGACTTGTGTTTAGAAAGAGAGCGTTTCAGCGTGGTAATAAAGCATTCAGTCAATCAGGATCTAAAATGTATTTTATTACAGTATGTACTGTGCCTAATAATATAAAACTTCATTTTTTTCTCCTTTATATTGTCTGATTACAGTGACCCATTTGAACACAGTTTCCAGTTGGATGCAAAAAGCACACCATAAACTTGTTTGTTCCTGTAGAACAGTCATATACACAGGTGCTCTTATACGGCAACCCCTATTTAGGGTGCCCTTTTAGTGCAACCTTAAATTTAAAGGACCACTATAGGCACCCAGACCACTTCAGCTTAATTAAGTGGTCTGGGTGCCTGGTCAAGCTAGGTTTAACCCTTTTTTCTATAAACATGGCAGTTTCAGAGAAACTGCTATGTTTATAATAGGGTTAATGCAGCCTCTAGTGGCCGACTCATTGAGAATGCTTTCCTATGAGACTGGCTGCGCGCGTGGCTCTTGCCGCGCATTCAGCCGAGGAGGAGAGTCCCCCGCCCGGCGCTGGAGAAACAGGTAAGTTTAACCCCTTCCTCACCCTACAGCCCGTCGGGGCACCCTCAGGGCACTATAGTGCCAGGAAAACAGGTATGTTTTCCTGGCACTATAGTGGCCCTTTAAAGGAAACATAAACATTGAATTCACAAATAAGCAATACTTGAATTGAAATTTTGCGACCAAAGAAAGTTATGAGGACCATATCTGGGTTGTTTAAAAACACATTGTAATATGGGTTTATTTCTGTTATTACAAATGTATTTTACATTTGAATCTATTTTCAGAAAATGAGGAAACCATATGTTTTACCATTGACTTAATTGGACTGTGTTCACCAAGAACTGTTTTTAATATGTAAATGATTTTGCCTATAAATTAATGTATAGTTAAGCATATATAAATAATACATTGGGTAGCTGAATGAAATGCATTCTGGGATAAAATGGGCATCACTAGAACCTAATGTGGATTATGTCATTTATTTTTATTATATCCATATATGTTAATATTCAGCTAGCAAATCTATAGATTACATTGGTTTAGATTAAAACAGGCTTCTGTTTTGCAATGTGTAACAGAGTGTCTTAGATATTTTGCTGCCAGTAAATTATAAAAAAAAAATATTGCAAATTGGATTAAATCAAAGTCTGCCCCTTCAGCATAATGTCCCTTTCTAACATGGCCAGTATAATTAATACACTGGATTGCTTATGTAATGGTACTGTAATATAATACATTAAGCCGTAAAGAGCAAAACTTTATTACTGGGATGAGCCAAAGAGCTTTCAACAAAACCTGTCCAATGTCCATTTTATTCCAGTCAGTACAAAGGTGTATAATTCCTATCCTGTGCTAGTCCATATATGTGATATGGATGGGTGTCAAATGCCTTCTTGGAACTGTAATACTGGCAGATTTTTTTCTCAGAATACAGCAAAACTATGGATCATTGAGCATAGGGGCAAGGTTTTCACTGTAGAGCGAAAGCTGTGACTTGAAGATAACAAGTTGATCAACCTACACCACCTTAGTACATTTCTCGACAAGCATCAACTTGGTTTAGTTCAGACTGTAGAATTTATCAAAACCTTGAAAGTGCATTTACGGATTGCCATGATTGGATACAAAATCATAAATTTTATCAACTTTTTTGTTTTCAATTTTAATAAGGAACAATCTGTAAAATTAATTGTGCAAATATTCTGTTCGATATTCTAAAATGGCACAAAACTGTGCTAGTTAGATTGTAGAATATCAAAGATTGTCTAATATCTTAACAACATTCCAGTTGCAACCTAAACCACTACATTATGCAGAAAAGAATCCACTATTATATCATGGTGTTTTGCATTGTTTCATACACTGAAATTCTATTTTAGGGATTTTTGGTCTTTTCATTTATTTTCTGGGTAGTCAAGGATAGCATTTAAAAACCCTTCTTTGCGAATTGGCACACTGAAGTCCAAAAAGGACTCCTGAATAAGAAATGCTTAAAAATAAAATATAAGTTGATATGCTAAACAATGAAGTGAAATACAAAATGTAAGCCAGTAACACTCTATTTTTCAGCTTTTGAAGCACTTATCTAAATTGCACCTTGGAGATCAACCCTCCAAAATTACCCATTCACTGAATAAACTTATAAAGGATAATGTCCTGTATTTGGAGATTACCAGATTGATACGAGGATCTGTGTTACAGAATTGCCCTTTTCCCTGCAAATACATTTACTAATCTAATTGTTCAAATATCATTACTTTTTTTAAAAATATATTTTAAACAATTTTGTGTGATTATGAACTATTTTATCTGTTTAAAAAACTACTTAAAGGGGGGAGAGGGTACTCTTGCCATTGAAAGAAAATGTATTTTTATATACTTATGTTTTGCTCATACCATTTCCGGCAATACAGGAACACATCTATGATTATACAATGCTTTCCCTTCTCTGTCTTAATACACTTCTGTTAAATCTGGTTAATACAGCTCAGGTGTTTTAAATAAAAATCTACCTCCTCAGACTGTATAGGAAAATAACTGTGAAAAAATAAATTATAAGAATGCAAAAATCTAGTTTTCTGCTATACGCTGCTTTATTTTTACAACCCATGTTTGCTTTTCATGGTTTTTTAAAAGGAAAATAATAGGTATTTGGATTTCACTGTTTTGCTTTTAAAAAAATTTTGTAGAGATTTTTCACGAATGTGAATTATACATTTTATCTACTCATTTCTGTATAGATTAAGTAAATATGTATGCTTAATAGAGCAGTATGTGTCTGTTTCATCTCTTACTTGTGATTTGCTGGATTTTAGTTGTCTTTTTTTTTCCCAACAGTCATGCTTGCTTGCCTTTTATTTGTTTCACATGGTCTTTAGCACATAATGTCAAACTTGGGCCTTTCGAGACACCTTTTACAATGAATCATATTCAGAGGCTGACAAGTGTTCAGTCTCTGATTCCTGAACAAAAAACACAAATAGAAGATTTGCTGCCTGGGTGTATCCCTTTTACTGACCAGGGTCTGAACCAAACTCTATCCCTGAGCAGGTATAGTGGTTCATGGGATGCATAAGGCCACCCCAGGGTTCAGTCTCTGTTTCCATGAAATCCCAGCAAGCAGTACTTGTGTAAGATGACCACCTCTGTGTACTAGTTGTAGTTGCCAGATCCAATATAAACACTCTCTCTGCGGTGATGGGAATAAGACCACTATAACGCTGTCAAATCCCCATTTGGTCCTCAAACACAAACTTAATGTTAGAGCACCTAAAATTTTCTGGAGAAGGTCTGCGTGAAGGAACACCTGTTCCTAAAGGTCTGTCTGAAGAAGATCATCGAAGTATGGATATACTGGCATGCAGCATCACAACCTGACAGTAATCGTCCAAAAAAGCAAAGTGGAGAAATACAAAGTGCTTCAGGATGTGAAGATGGGCATCATGCAGTTTGACTGTGGCTAAAGGGAAACCTAGCTGAGATAAAAGGACCAACTGCTAAGAATCTTGAGCTCTGAGTCAGCTTGAAAGGTGGATATCTTTTTTGGGACCACAAGCAGGTTTGAAATAAAAATCCGTGCCAATCTCCAAAGGAGGGACTGGAGCAATAACTGAATTGTGTTCCATGTCTGCCATCAGGGCCTGTGTCCAAAAACTTGGAAAATACCAAAGTAGCTCCAAAGGAGACCGGAGGCAAAGCAGTAGCACAATCCGTCTGTGGAGCAGGCCAGGTCTTATGGAAAAAGTTCCAAACATTCTCTAAGGCACTGACGGGGACATGTTATAAAGGATTTTTATGTAGACTTGGAAGAAGCTGAGATATTTTCTTGGTTTGAGGAGCCTTACATTATGATATCTTAAAGATCCGTATTTTGGGTCAAAATGTTGGATGTCTGTGAAGTCACAGTAAAAGGATCAATTCATTATTAATACAAGGTGTGCTGTATCGTTTTACTTCTGTTTGCTGCCAGATTACCAAAGAATTAGAGGGGACTAGATATCATTGACAGCCCCGGATATTCGGCTAAGGTGGGAGTGATGTTTCGTTTTTTATAGTTTGCTTTGACTTGGAGCCTGACTTGCTTAACAAAGTGGCTAATGGAAGGCAAGTGTGACTCCTTGAGGATTTCATAATACTTGCTGTAAGGATGAAAACAACCCATCTTAAGCAGCAAACATACACACTTTATCTCTTACACTCTCTCTCAAGCCCATAGACACACATACTACAGCACAAAGGTTTAAATTTACACACACAACCCCACAAGTAGCTTCCAAATGCATTCACAATACCCTGTCCTCTTGTCTTGTTTTGTTGTCCTTTATTACTCTTGAATTCTGTGATACTGACCGTTACTGCTGTGACTTAAATATGAATATTAATATTTGAATTTATTATAATTAAGCAATAAGTAACATTGTTAAAGTTTGTGGTGTTATGGTCAAATAGGTGGATAAATACACAAAACTTAATATTATATGTAAATTTAATATAATTATAATAAGTAAACAATGCTATCAGAATGTAAATGTACTACAATAATTATACAAAACAATAACTACAACATATTCCTTACAAAAGGCTATAACAGTTGCTAAATGTTACAATGGACTTATATTACTTACAAGGCCCCAGCCCTTTGGCTGGGGTTAAGTCAGAGCTGGTACTACATCTTAGGTTCAATCAGGTAAGGCAAAGAGTCTGATTCCTTCCTACATCTAGTTTTTATTCTGTGTATTCCTAAGTAGGCTGGCCTGTGATGTCAATGCCAGAAGCAGAAGGCTTAAGCATTCCTACACACTGCCGCTAGTGGTTCTTCTAAAGCATTATTATTATTATTGCCATTTATATAGCGCCAACAGATTTCGTAGCGCTTTACAATATTGTGGGGGGGCGGGTGGGGGATTTAACTTTAAATAGGACAATTACAAGAAAACTTACAGGAACGATAGGTTGAAGAGGACCCTGCTCAACCGAGCTTAAAGTCTATAGGATTAACCTCATTATGCTTTATTTTATGACATACATCATTATAATATACCATTCCAAACCACCCTTTGACTTTTGTTATAAAACAAACATTTATAAAACCAGTACATCTTAAATCTTACCCATTTTAACACTATCTGCCCTACAACAAAACCCACCTTTTGAAGAACGATACCCATTTATCGTAAAGTTATGACACTTTATTGCTTATTCAAATGTTCACCGTTGACCACATGCATCACCAGTTGGGAAACCTTGGCGTAAAATAGGCACATACACACCATTGTAATAATGAACAACTCAACCTGTGTTTTATTAGATCAACCAATGATATTGTGTTCATGTGAGGCTGTGGTTTGGAGCTTAATATAGTATTAGACACGACAAACCTATAACACCTGTGAATTATGACACAGCCGGACAGTCACTGGACCTCGATTTCTGTAGCCTATGGCTGGTCTGTGTGCTTGACATTTTGCAAATATTAGTCCTGGAACTTGAAGCACGGAGACAGAGATGAACAAAATAATTTGAGCAAACACGGAAGTAGGATTTTGGAAAACAACAGTTCATGTGCACAGGGACTTTTGTGTGTTTTGTGGTCCCATCAACCTTGACATAAGACATAACACATGCTCTACATGTAGTCTTTCACCTACTCATCACTCCCAGCTGCAGTAGTTCTTCTCACAGCAACAGTTCATGTGTGCAGGGACATTTGTGTGTTTTGTGGTCACATAGATACCCATTACCACCTTGACATAACACAGTTTTCTGCTCTTGATGCATTGTTTCCTACTCTCATCACTCTCAGCTGTAGTATTTCTTCTCACATCAACAGTTGAGTATAGTGTCCAGAGCTGCTGCTTCTGGCTCCATTGCAATAACGTCTCCTTGATGGAAAGTTCTTGAATGAAAACACTGGCAATGACAAACACAAACATAAATGACAGATGCCTTTGTGCCAGTTATCACAAGTACTATTTGATTGTGGTGTCTTAACTATATTTTACACTATGGCGTTAAGTAAGTACTTACACACCTCCTGAGAATTCTCTCTTCACATCCAGCGCACTTCTAATTCACAGATAAACACAATATCACTGTTGTAGTTAACCAATCTAACCTAAACACTCATTATCACCGCTGTATTTAATGAATTTAACCTAAACACCCACCAAAACAAAATAAATTCCTATTTACCACCCTTCTATTTAAACATGTATAGTTAACCCTAAATGCCTATTTTCACTTATCCCTCTTAATTGTGAATAGATGTAAATCCCAATACCTTGTAATGAGTATACAATACAATCCCTTCTCCTAAGTTTTTATTTATTTATTTTTTTATCCCACCACAAAAAATGATAAATCACAGCAATCATAAAGGCTCTACCAAAAAGGTAAAACCACTTACCCACCCGACTAATAATTAACGTTGGATATGTCACCTTTGTAATCAAAGTACTGAGAAATTGTCATTCACTTATAAGAGAATAGAATGCACAAAATCATAGCATAGACATGTTCAATAGACACAATAAAATAAAACACATTTAATAGCTAATCAAAGGTCAACATTTAAACACTGGTCTCCATCAATTTCTTCCTTTTTTTTTTTACTACACCCCCGGAACATTACACGCCTTCACCCAGGCATTGAACTGCAGACTCAACAGCACTAATCGCCAAAGCAACGCCAAAAACTGGACGAGAGGCGGAGGATGCCAGCGTGATCACATGGACCACGCTCATGTTGTCTGTGTGAAAGACGACAACGTGGCCATGCAACTCTTCACCCTATAGCTCCAACGCCACCACAACTGGAAAAAGCTCAAAAAAGATGAGGTTGCACATAATATCCATCCCTCTCCAGCCCGCTGGCCATGCATCCGCACGCCAATGGCCCCGGAAGAACGCCCCAAAACACACGGAGCTGGACGTGTCCGTGAACAGGTCCAACGAAGCATTAGGCACCGCCTCTCGAAGCCAGCAGGAATGGCCATTGTAGGTGGCCAGAAAGGAACTCCATACCTGTACATCTGCCCGCATACGTCTGTTCACTCAGATGAAATGATGATGTTCCCGAATGCCTACTGTGGATAGAAACAATCGACGACAGAAAGCTCAACCCATAGGAAGAACCCGACACGCAAAAGTCAGGTGACCCAAGAGGACCTGCATCTGCCTCAATTGCACCTTCTTAGCTCCTTTTACCCTCTCCAATAACTCCAGCAGAACCGCCAGCTTATCCTCAGGCAACCGAAATATCATATGTACTGTGTTGATTTTGATGCTGAGAAACGACAGGACGGCTACTGGGCCAACAGTCTTCTGTTCAGCGACCGGGACGCCAAAGTCCTTAGCTACCGCCCGAAAGGCGTCCAGCAACTCCTGACACGCCATCGACCCGGCCAACCCCACAAACAGGAAGTCATCCAAGTAGTGCGTGACAGAGCTCCACTCCGCCTGCTGCACTGTGACCCATTCCAGAAATTAAGAAAACATTTTTTTTGCAAGCACATATCGTAGTAGAAGCAACTCCGAAAATGGCAGCCCAGGAGGTGGAAACACTCAGGGTGCACTGGCAACAGGCGAAATGCCGACTCAATGTCCAACTTTGCCAGAAGAGCACCAGAGCCCACTTCCCGAACCAATTCCAGAGCCCTATCGAAGGACACATATCGTACCCGGCATGCCT